GCAAGAAGCAATTGAGACCCGATCTCAACAAATGCCAATTGAACAAGCCGAAGCATCACAACAAGTGTCAAAACTTCAACAATCCACTTCGCCACAATGGCAACAAGTGACCCCGTCACTCACTCCACGAATGACTCCGCTGCCAGCGAGTCTTCCGCCAAGTCCGATACCAAGCGAGGTGCCGCTGCCGACCAGCGTACCAAACTCGCCATTACCGGCACCACTCACGGCCATTCCATATGAGCCTGTTACACCGGATCAAGCGCTTCGTCCAGCTTATCCGCAAGCACCAGAACGAACAGCATTCCAGCAAGTGGACGTAGTTCCAGTACGACCAATTGTCTACACTCCGTCAAGTCCAGCACCGGCCTCCTCTCCAGATCAGCAAGTTCCGGGAAGCTTCCCCACAGCTTCACAAGGTCACCAAGCCATTCGAGATATTAACGGAGACGTCTCTACAGACAACGTTATCCAAGGCACTCGAAGAAGGACAGTGAGAAAGGACCCATACCTTGCGAGTTACTTCACGTACGATGACCAAGATGACCATGAAGGCGTACTAGCTGCATTTGCTTCCGCGCTCTCATCCACTCGCCCAGAACCTCGCTACCATCGCGATGATCTTACTCCTGAACCCCAAAGCTGGAAGGAAATGATTAATCATCCGTTTCGGGACGGTTTCATGGCCGCAGCAGGCCTCGAAGTGGAATCTATCAAGCTCCGTCAAACATTCAAAGTTGAACCACGCCCTCAGGACCGCAGCATTCAGGTCCTACCACTCAAGTGGGTTTTCAACTATAAGTATGACAGCAATGGTTTCCTCACCAAGCTTAAAGCACGAATCTGTGTTCGAGGCGACCTACAAACCATTAGCTCAGACGACAAGCGAGCCGCCACGCTTGCTGCCCGTACAGCCCGTGCAATATTCGCACTCGTTGCTGCATTTGACCTAGGAACCTTCCAACTCGACGCTGTTAACGCATTTCTCAATAGTGATCTCGACGAAGAGGTGTATACGTATATGCCTGAAGGTTTCCACGATTCAACAAGCGTCTGGAAGCTCCTTAAAGCACTTTATGGCTTACGCAAGTCTCCGAAACTATGGCAGCAAGAAGCCACACGCGTTCTTAGAAAGCTTGGATTTCAGCACGTACCAGAGGATATATGCCTATTCACGAAAAATGGAGTCATTGTGTTCTTTTATGTGGACGATATAATTATCGTCTACCACCGAGCGAGATACCAGGAAGCTTTAACGCTGCGCCAACAGCTTAAAGAGCACTGGGAACTTCGGGACATAGGAGAAGCAAGCTGGTTTCTCGGCATTCGCATCCTCCGGGATACTAAGCAGCATAAGCTATGGCTTTGCCAGGATTCCTATATCGCATCAATGGCCGCCAAGTATGGTCTTACCAACGGACGAAAGGTTACAACACCTCTACCAGTCAATCGCATGACTCGGTATACGGGACAAGCAACTAAGGAGCAGATTCACGAATACCAGCAGAAGGTAGGATCAGTCATCTATCCAACAGTCATCACACGTCCAGATGCTGCCAAAGCAGCAAATCACTTGGCCGAGTTCCTCACGAACCCCGGACCCGAACACCGAGAAGCAGCAAACCGCCTTATCCAGTATCTCTACCAAACAAGGTTCCTTGCTCTCGAGTATCATCCAACTCTCACGGAGTCTGCACTCCACTTCTTTAGCGATGCATCATTCGGAGATCACGTTGATCGGAAAAGCTCAGAAGGCTTCCTCTGTAAGCTGTTTGGAGCAGCAGTCGACTGGAAAGCCAGCAAGCAACGAACCGTCACAACGTCGACAACTGAAGCCGAGCTGCTAGCTATATCTGAGGCTGGCAAGTCAGCTATGTGGTGGAAAAGGCTACTTCACGCAGTCAATCTCGACTATCAATCAGGACTAGACATCCACTGCGACAATCAGCAAACCGTCGATCTTCTCACTAAGGAGCAACCTCAGCTTCGCACCAAGCTTCGCCACGTCGATATCCACAATAACTGGCTTCGTCAAGAAGTTGAAGCCGGCACTATCTCAATCAAATGGGTTCCCACAGCCGAAATGGCCGCCGATGGACTCACTAAGCTGCTTCCATCACAGTCCCATGCGCAATTCATTCAGACACTAGGATTGGTCGACATTAAGCACTTGGTGGAGGACAAAGTGGCATGAAAGAGAAGCAGAATGGCTGCTGAGGGGGTGTGTCAAGAAAAGCGGTCCTTACAGTACTAGCTTACTCGAGTTTTAGCAGCACCCATTTTGCTTACTCATTTGCTACAGTATAAATGGCTACTTCGCCAAGCCATACACCGCTTCATGAGCATTGGTTAAATAGCGCAGCATCAGCTTGTCCTAGAATTTACACTCATTCTATGATATCAAGGCCGACCAATGGTCTGTTGTAGAACTAGCGCGTACCGTATCTCTTGGAATCGACATGTAGGTCTAGAGGTTTAGGTCGGGGGGCTTGGGTCCCTGGCGGGCCTAGGCCTGTGGTCTGACCGCCTACGAGGTCGGAGGCCTTACGGCAGAGGGCCGGGGCGGTGTGCCCGGCCCGGAATGGCACTTTTCATATAACGTAAATTATGGTACTGTAATTACTGTATTTTATAGAAACATGAGACGCATGCAGCCTCCATGTCACCCCAATTCCAGGCTATAGACATTCCTTCACGCACCATCTGCAGTGTTGACTAAGGTGACCTACGCAATATAGCACCCAGAATTTCCTTTTCAAAGCTAAACTTTATTCGTGATATAATACAGAACCAGTCGCTCCCCACATCTTAAATGGCTAATGAAGCTGAATGCGGCGAGCATACGATCAAATATATTCACAGGAACTTACGGCAATTTAGACACGTCCACGCTCCTCCAAATCGAATCGGCCGGAGACGGACTATAAAACCATTGATGCTAGAAGCAAGATAGCAGTATTTCTCTGGGATGAATTCCAGACGCTAGTAACAATATCTAGCATCCGGAAGGCCCCCATCTCGAAAGGATAGTCGAAAGATGTAGCTTGACAGAAAGCCAGAGAGCAAAAGACTCATTCACGCGAACATTATTTGCACAAACTATCGGATTTCCAGCCTAACGGTACCAAAAATTCTTGTACTCAATGGCCCTGTGGAATACAGTTGGGCGTCTGCGAAACAATAATTCGCCTTCCAACTGACCTCTGTGGAATTGAAACCTCTTAATGCGGCGGAAAACGGAACACCGCAAATAGTCACAATCAACGTGAACGGAAACGGGATACCGTTTAAATGTATTCGAAAGATGCTTTCATCATTCCACACTTTGTCTAGAGAAATTTTGTTGTATTCTGTCAACATTATGTATGTTGTAGTTCTTTCTCCAATCGTTGTTCTAGTACTACCATTAGATCTGAGCGAAGATGACAATTTTCAAGCTCTCAAGGGCCCATTTCTATCGCCACAGAACAAGAATCTACCTACTGAAGCTGAGTTCTCTTTTGTGTCTAGTCATTGGGTTTTTGATCTTAACCGACCTACTCAAGCGAGATGGTATGTTCATTTTCTGACGCCTGCAAGCAAGATCCTCTCATGTGCTTTCTATGAAACTAACTTAAACAGCATTCGCATATCTCCTACCGCGAATTACACCGCAAAACAGCACCTCAGTCTTAAAAGGTCAAATGGCTGCTCCAAAACCGTCCATCGCCAAGGTGACGATTGTATTTGGAGACAATTCTGTCTACCACAGAGCTTTAAAAACACATGAAGAGCACAGTCGCAAGTTTGGATATCCCATGCATGTCTTACAAAGCGGAATTCTGGATGATGTGTGGACAAAACCTGCGTTCCTACTGTCTCTCATACTGGAGGAACTTGTTAAACCGAAAACAGAACGACTAGAATGGATCTTGTGAGTCAATATTTTCTGGTTAGGAATCCAGCGTGACTGACCAGAAATTACAAAGTTGGTTCGATGCTGACACGGTGGTCATGAATCCAAACATTCCGATTGAGCTGTTTCTTCCACCGGCAGATTTTCCTGATATCCACGTTATATTCAGCAAAGACTGGAATGGGCTCAACAATGGCGTCTTTCCCATCAGGGTTCATCCATGGTCCGTCGAGTTGCTAAGTGCAGTTATCGCCTACCCACACTATTTCCCCGACACGCAACTCGTCTTCCGTGACCAGTCCGCATTGGGGAAGCTTCTTGAGAACGACGACTATTTTAGAAACTCCACCATATACGCTCCGCTTCGGTGGTTCAATGCCTATCGAGGGGCTCCTGACGGAAGTCTAAATGACTATATCCCGCCGGAATTTCAACTGCGCAAAGGTGATTTCCTTGTTCACTTCGCGGGAACGTCAGGATCAGACCGAAACAATAGTATGAGCACGTTCCTCGAAGTGGCTGAACTGCACTCCCCCGATTGGCAATTACCGCCGGAGGCAACAAGCTATCTAGGCGAGATCGAGGCATTCTGGGCGCAACAACGTATCGAAAGATCAATGTCATAATACTAGGAATCGAAATAACTCTAGAATGATTCAGTTGCAAGTTTTACCACAATAGTCTAAATAATGCTTTAATCCGAGATCCGGAAAGAAAGGACAGGCTCAGAAGACCCTAAGGTCCTCTCCCTGCTCTGATTCACGCCCACCCAAAAGCCCTCCATCTCCCACCTCCATCTCAAAGCGTAGTTAATTACATCCTGCTGAAGAGTCTCATCCCAATACTTCACATGCAACGAAGCTATACTCTCCTTCAGATCCTCGGGCGTCACGAAGTTCTGGTTCCAGCTATAGTGCAGCTTCTGCCACGGCATATTCCCTTCCACACGATGAGCATAGTTGAGCAAGTTCTGCTCTGGCATGCCCGGTGAAAATCGACCTTCCAATTCCAGAACGGACATGTAGTATTGCATGATCTCCTCAGAGGGCGAATACACAAAAAACCCTGCGTTGAGATAATTGCTAGACATATCCGGGGGATAAGAATGACTGTAGGTCGTGGCGTCCGGCTTCCCGGCAAACAGATACCTTGTCGGCAGAGGTGCTTCATCCAACTTGCGCTGGTGGGCTACATTCTGGGTGTCTCTGACCTGAGCTGCCGGATCGTCAAATACCCCGGCGATGGGCCGGGTCAGAACAGTGTCCCCGTCCATGAAAAGGACTCTTTCAAACGGGAGGACGTGCGGGTCGAAGAGACGGAGTTTCGTCCAGCAGTTGCGCCAGCGGGGTACGTACACGGTGAGATTGGTCTTGACGTTATCAACTTCAATCACTATCGCGCCGTCGTCGGTGAGTTGCTTGCGTTTCTCGTGCCTTACTTCGGGGGTCACCAGGATTATAAAGGGGATGGTTGGGTCAAGACGGGTTCGCGGTGAATGCCGCAGTTGATATGTTAACGTCCGAATGGCGATAAAATAGTTGTCTTCTTGTTCATAATCGTCGGGGGTTGTTTCGCCCGAAAAAAATGTAGCCACGGCAATGTCTTGTCTGTACTTTGTCTTGGTGCGCCATGGTTGATGTAGATGGTGAGTCGCTGAGACTATGATTGAGGCGCTCGATTGCATAACATGTTGCCCTGAGGGCAATAGGGCAATGAGTCCAGTAAGGATAACAATTGCTGCGAGTACTTGAAATCTTCGTCGTTTTGGAGAGGGCATCGTGTTGGCATGAGAGGATGGTACTATTTTGAGGTCGACTGATGGAAGGAGGGAATTCACAGACAGGATATGACCAGCAATCTGTCATGGTCTGCAATTTTCTATTACCCCTAAAGCAGAATTACTGTCTACTGCGGCGTAAAGCAGGCTGCACGCGGTATCACTAATCTGGAGAACAGAGCGTTAGCACGATCATAAGCGTTGCTCTTCTAAATCCTAAGTGCATCCTGAATTCGGAAGGTAATGCAGGTTTTCGAGTTTCCCTGCAGCACGATTGTCGAGGTCAAAAGATGGTAAAGGCTTCCGTTTGCATGTTGCCGTATCCACCCACTCACATTCCTCTCAGTCAGCCACCACTGGTTCCTCACTTTTCTTTCGCATTGGAATCCAACCAATGGTAGGAATGTCTCAATCTCCGACCTATTTGTCGGATGCAAGCGGCCACAAGTCCGAGTTCGTCTGCGCCCGTAGGCGCTTAGGTCTTCCGTGTCCTTCACCACGGCCTTCTTGTTGACGGTGACCCGCCATTTTATGAAGTAGTGGATACAACTAGGTGGATCCTCGTCGTGGATCTTGTCCTCCTCCCACTCAGATTCCCGGAGCAGTGGTATTTGGTAGAAGTCGGCTTGCGGGATTAGGTTCATCGTCGAGTAAGGTGGATAGGGAGGGACTACAGTTGCATCGTGAGCATAAAGGGCTTCGGAAGTATCCCGGGGTTAGAGGGGAATATTGAGTATCCTGTTCCCATGGTTCGAGCTCTTGGGGCTAAGAGATATAGTCAACGTAATACGGACTGTCGCTCATATTTACACGCGATCGAAGTCCTTGAGATCTGCGTCAGCTAACATAGGTAGTTCCACAGGCCAGGAACGAATAGAAGCGGCAGTCCGCGGCAACAGAACCCTGCCTTGAACATTCCGTAGAGATTTACAGTATTTTACAGAGACCCTAAATCCAATACATTACAAGACGCGATACGAGGGCTCTGTTCCCAGTAGGGAAGGCAAAATGTAATTTCAATATTTCGAAATTTCTGTAATTTGGCCTCTTGAAATGAAATTTGAAATGGGCCTTGAAATCTTGAAATCGAGCTATTCCGTAAACGGTAGGGTTTATTTTATTTGCTACCAATCAGAACCCTAAATGCGGAGGACGTGAAATCGACATCAGCCTTTATTTACACCCCGCCGTTGAGCTGGCTGCTCGCAATGCTCTGCAACTCCTTGGGGCCATTCAGATAAACGCTTCTTCCCTTTAGTGTTGCCAACCTCAACTGTTCTATCGGTACTAGTTCTGATCGAGCTCGGGCGTATAGGATGAGCTGAATTTGATGTAGATGTCGTTGGAGGACTCGGGAGAGGCTCCGAATTTGGCTTAAGCAAAGAGTTAAGCCTCAAAATTCAACGCAGAAACCAGGGCAGGATTCGCAGACCCTGAAGCTGAATTCAACGCAGAATTCAACGCAGAATTCAACGCGGAAACTAGCGCAGAAGTCGGTGCAGAATTCGGTGCAGAATTCGGTGCAGAAGTTGGTTCTGGATCTTGTTCCGAATTTGATTCAGGTTCTGGCTCGGGATTCAAGTCGGGATTTATGTCTAAAGTTGACACGAGATTCGACCCTACACCAGGCGTAGGACTTGGTAGGACTAGATGCGGGATTCGATGAAGTATCCGAAGTCACAGAACCCTCTGATAGATGGTCCTGCACCTGCTTACGCTGCAAAACCCTCTCTATTTCGTTGTCTTCTTCCTCAAGAAGGAACTCTTGGGTGATTTTAGGAGGCTGTTCTGTCCGGAATTATCAAATGGTTATGGCACAGAATCTTCGTTCCCATGGTTTACGCGACAGGTTTTGAAGTGGCGCGGTCTATATCAATATATTCCGCATGGAATTGACATAATGGCACTTAATCATCTAAAAGCGACAATTATGCTATCTTGCTGATAGGTTGGCTTTTGGGCGTGTACATATCATGAGCGGAGGCTTCCTGCAGATTGGCGGTGACTGTTTGCCTTCAAACTCCTGGAGGATGAGTGGAATGGGCGCGATATGGGTGCTGCAGCCGTCGTGCAGTATTGTGACGTATTTGACTACGGATCCCGCCAGGGAACAAATAAATCGGACAGAATTATGTTTTGCCATCCTGACCAAGGAAGATAGATGTATACGTGACAGTGAAAGCTTACTTCAGGACACACTGTTCTGATTTACTTGTTTCTGCGCGTTCAAATTAACATCGTGCTTGATGCCATCTTCGGGCCCAATCACCGTTCAGCTGTATCTTAAAGCCGATGTGAGTCGCCTTTATCTCCAGCGATAATTTGAATTTCAAGGTGCATGGCCACGAGTTTCTCCTGCTTTTCCAGCATCTGCCAGGCTTTCAACCAGTCATTTTGAGGGCAAGGTGCAAGGTAACCGAATATTCGATGACCACTAGAGCTGGCAACGCTAGTGTCATGTGTTCGCCAGCGTGCCGGGTAGACAATAGAAAAAGATTCAATAGAAAAAGTTCAACAAAGATATGGTGAGCAAAGATAGGCCAGCAACGCAGCGATGGTGAAACAGTGCACGTTTAACAATGAGAGATTAACAATGCTCACAACAGACGGTAAATGGTGAAGGGTGGACGGTTAACTGCAAATGATCGACAAACAGTCAGCAATAAATGGTAAGCAGCAGACGGTTAAGAAAAAGTTAAGAACAAGTTAAACTGCAAACAAACGCACTAAGGATTCCTGGGGTCAATAACCGAAAAGCACCCCGTTTGCGAATCAGCAGAAGGTCGGTCCTGCAAACCCCCAGCCCCCGAAATTTTGGCCTATAATAAATTGGTCAAAATGTGCACGGCACCATCGCATGCTTTGCCACTTCAACTTTGTGCAAAGCTACCATATCGTTGATTTGTCCATGATTAGTATTCCCCAAAGACTAATTCATGAGAGGTGTTTAAATCGGTATCTAATTAGTAGATGACGCGTGGGGATGTTAAGTGGATCCATTCCTGAACTCAATTCTACATATCTTTTACACCGGCTGTCCAGGGTAGCAATTGACTGGGCGGTGGGATCAAAATAAAAATCATCCAGTTACACACTGCTGTGTTGACCAATATCGTTTTAGCCCATCATCACCGATCAGGAACTAAATATTTTTTTGTCTCTTGGTAGCCCCCACAATTGCAAAGATATCATAGCCAGCAGTTGTTGTTAGTATTACAATACATCTGTTCCATTCTGCGTGTGTGGGAAAACCCCTTTCTAAAGAATCTTACTGTCCACGCTGTAGGCCGATTATGCGAGTTGTGGGCGATTGGTCGTGACCAGTCACTTGAAGTACGCGTTTTGTTGCCTTCAAAAAAAAAAAAAAAAAAAAAAATTTTCGACCGATACGTCTGAAGTAACCGCGGTATTGCCGAGAAAGCAACAGTCCAATATTTATGATGTTGACTTGTTTGATTCGAAGGGGTCGAAGGGGCGGATTCTGGGAAAAAAGCATAGGAGTATATGGCTCTGGAGGAAATCCATCCAGTGGTTCACGTGATATTGCCCAAATAGGGGTAAGTTTCACGGTCATCTAGGCTGGAGGGGTAGTAGTAAATGTCGATTCCAAGAGATACGGTACGCGCTAGTTCTACAACAGACCATTGGTCGGCCTTGATATCATAGAATGAGTGTAAATTCTAGGACAAGCTGATGCTGCGCTATTTAACCAATGCTCATGAAGCGGTGTATGGCTTGGCGAAGTAGCCATTTATACTGTAGCAAATGAGTAAGCAAAATGGGTGCTGCTAAAACTCGAGTAAGCTAGTACTGTAAGGACCGCTTTTCTTGACACACCCCCTCAGCAGCCATTCTGCTTCTCTTTCATGCCACTTTGTCCTCCACCAAGTGCTTAATGTCGACCAATCCTAGTGTCTGAATGAATTGCGCATGGGACTGTGATGGAAGCAGCTTAGTGAGTCCATCGGCGGCCATTTCGGCTGTGGGAACCCATTTGATTGAGATAGTGCCGGCTTCAACTTCTTGACGAAGCCAGTTATTGTGGATATCGACGTGGCGAAGCTTGGTGCGAAGCTGAGGTTGCTCCTTAGTGAGAAGATCGACGGTTTGCTGATTGTCGCAGTGGATGTCTAGTCCTGATTGATAGTCGAGATTGACTGCGTGAAGTAGCCTTTTCCACCACATAGCTGACTTGCCAGCCTCAGATATAGCTAGCAGCTCGGCTTCAGTTGTCGACGTTGTGACGGTTCGTTGCTTGCTGGCTTTCCAGTCGACTGCTGCTCCAAACAGCTTACAGAGGAAGCCTTCTGAGCTTTTCCGATCAACGTGATCTCCGAATGATGCATCGCTAAAGAAGTGGAGTGCAGACTCCGTGAGAGTTGGATGATACTCGAGAGCAAGGAACCTTGTTTGGTAGAGATACTGGATAAGGCGGTTTGCTGCTTCTCGGTGTTCGGGTCCGGGGTTCGTGAGGAACTCGGCCAAGTGATTTGCTGCTTTGGCAGCATCTGGACGTGTGATGACTGTTGGATAGATGACTGATCCTACCTTCTGCTGGTATTCGTGAATCTGCTCCTTAGTTGCTTGTCCCGTATACCGAGTCATGCGATTGACTGGTAGAGGTGTTGTAACCTTTCGTCCGTTGGTAAGACCATACTTGGCGGCCATTGATGCGATATAGGAATCCTGGCAAAGCCATAGCTTATGCTGCTTAGTATCCCGGAGGATGCGAATGCCGAGAAACCAGCTTGCTTCTCCTATGTCCCGAAGTTCCCAGTGCTCTTTAAGCTGTTGGCGCAGCGTTAAAGCTTCCTGGTATCTCGCTCGGTGGTAGACGATAATTATATCGTCCACATAAAAGAACACAATGACTCCATTTTTCGTGAATAGGCATATATCCTCTGGTACGTGCTGAAATCCAAGCTTTCTAAGAACGCGTGTGGCTTCTTGCTGCCATAGTTTCGGAGACTTGCGTAAGCCATAAAGTGCTTTAAGGAGCTTCCAGACGCTTGTTGAATCGTGGAAACCTTCAGGCATATACGTATACACCTCTTCGTCGAGATCACTATTGAGAAATGCGTTAACAGCGTCGAGTTGGAAGGTTCCTAGGTCAAATGCAGCAACGAGTGCGAATATTGCACGGGCTGTACGGGCAGCAAGCGTGGCGGCTCGCTTGTCGTCTGAGCTAATGGTTTGTAGGTCGCCTCGAACACAGATTCGTGCTTTAAGCTTGGTGAGGAAACCATTGCTGTCATACTTATAGTTGAAAACCCACTTGAGTGGTAGGACCTGAATGCTGCGGTCCTGAGGGCGTGGTTCAACTTTGAATGTTTGACGGAGCTTGATAGATTCCACTTCGAGGCCTGCTGCGGCCATGAAACCGTCCCGAAACGGATGATTAATCATTTCCTTCCAGCTTTGGGGTTCAGGAGTAAGATCATCGCGATGGTAGCGAGGTTCTGGGCGAGTGGATGAGAGCGCGGAAGCAAATGCAGCTAGTACGCCTTCATGGTCATCTTGGTCATCGTACGTGAAGTAACTCGCAAGGTATGGGTCCTTTCTCACTGTCCTTCTTCGAGTGCCTTGGATAACGTTGTCTGTAGAGACGTCTCCGTTAATATCTCGAATGGCTTGGTGACCTTGTGAAGCTGTGGGGAAGCTTCCCGGAACTTGCTGATCTGGAGAGGAGGCCGGTGCTGGACTTGACGGAGTGTAGACAATTGGTCGTACTGGAACTACGTCCACTTGCTGGAATGCTGTTCGTTCTGGTGCTTGCGGATAAGCTGGACGAAGCGCTTGATCCGGTGTAACAGGCTCATATGGAATGGCCGTGAGTGGTGCCGGTAATGGCGAGTTTGGTACGCTGGTCGGCAGCGGCACCTCGCTTGGTATCGGACTTGGCGGAAGACTCGCTGGCAGCGGAGTCATTCGTGGAGTGAGTGACGGGGTCACTTGTTGCCATTGTGGCGAAGTGGATTGTTGAAGTTTTGACACTTGTTGTGATGCTTCGGCTTGTTCAATTGGCATTTGTTGAGATCGGGTCTCAATTGCTTCTTGCGGATCTTGTGGCTCATTTTGTATGATTGGTGATGTAGCAAGTCGGCGTAGGGCCTGCTCAAGCTCTGCTTCAAGCTCTTCCTGATCGAAAACCTCTGTGTAGGGTATCTGGCTGATGATTGGAGCTTCTTTCGGCTGGTGTGAATAGTTCATATTCTCATCGAACACTGCGTCTCGGACGTACTTGCTGGTATTAGACCTAGGAAACCAGATTTTCCAGATGTTGCCTGTTTTATATCCGACCAAGTAGCCAATTTCAGCTCGGCGATGCATTTTATCGGATTGAGGGATCCCCTGAATTCTGACGTAGGTGCGACAACCGTATACTCGAAGATTTGATAGGTTGATCGGAACCCATGTGCTAGTTCCTTGCTGGTGAAACTCCTGTTGTGGGATGATCCAGCGGCCATCATTGAGCTTGGTGGGCGATCTGTTTAGTATATAGATAGCTGCTTGCGCTGCTTCCGGCCAGAGATTCTTAGGGAGCTTAGAGTCTTCGAGAAGTGATCTCATCCTTGCTATTATCACCCCCCCAGATCGCTCGGCAAACGAATTCATTTCAGGAGTGCCGGGGATGCTGTGTTGGATGACGATACCGCAGTGAGTGAGGAAATCCTCGACAGCTCTGCCTGCTGATCTCTCATTATCATAATGAAAGGCACGGATCGGCAAGTTGAACCAAGTCTTCATTTGTGACACGAAGCTAGTGACTGCTTCCTGACAGCCGTTCTTTTGTGGGTGCGTTGCAGCCCAATGGTAGCGGATGCCATCAATATAGAAATGAGTTATCCACCTGTCGCCGTTATAGGCTTCTTGGATCGGAATTAGATCGAAGTGAATTCGACCAAGCGGTCCGAATGTGGCTCCTTGAGCTCTTCGAGACACTTGGCGATGCGCTTTTGTCAACTGACACACTTCGCAGTGCTCAGGATTGTCTTGTTGTGCTTGACCAGTAGGTTTTGTGACTTCGATGCCATCTACCATATCGGCAAGCTTCTCGATACGTTGATCATGCATATGACCAAGTCGGCGATGCCATGTTTCAGCGGTTGCTTTTGAGACAAGCGGTACGGTAGAACGCTTAGTGGTTGAAGCAAATGCAGTTGTTGCGAATGAGGCAGGAAACAGTATGTCTACCTCTGAGAGTGCGAAGAGGTTACCAATTTCCTCTATCTTTGCAATACACTTGCCGGACTGCTTGCTAACGATCGTTAAGTTGTCAAAGTCCGCTATAAAACCTCGCTTCTTGATGATTCCAAGTGAGATCAGGTTTGTGTGAAATCCTGGTGAGTACTCGACGTCGTCAAGCGTAATTGTCACTGGCTTCCCTGTGGTAGGACTAAGTGCCTTGATGCTGACTTTTCCACTTCCTTGAAGGGTGCAGTAGGTGTCTCCGACCTTGATAGTGCCGTTTGATTCCTTAAAATCAGTGAATAGGCTTCGTTTGTTTGAGATATGCCTTGTAGAAGCCGTATCAATTAGCCATCTGTCTTTGATTGATGCTTGCTGTGTGGTAGGGAATGCTGTTATCGGCTTATCATCCCATGTTAGGAAGCTAAAGGGAGATTCGTCCTCTCGAAATTCAGCGAAGTGCGCTTGTGTATCGCTTGCGGTGCTTTCAGCTAGCTTGGCAGTGAGGTCTTTGACTTTTCTTTGAGCTGCTGAAGATAACTTTTCCGTGTTTTGGCTGATCTTCTTCTTGATGCTAGGATCAGGCTTCCATCCTGATGGTCGGACAGCTTTGACGAGATATGGGCAAGCTTGGTAGAGATGCTTATCCTCGCAGACGCAAGTAGGATTGCTAGGCAGTTTCTTTCGGTCATTTCCGCTACCAGCTTTGCGCTGAGGTTGCGGCTTTCCGGCTTCTTCCTGGCCATTTAGCGTAGCGAATGAAGCGTGAGTTGCCTTGAGACCCTTTTTCGGCCGAAAAACGGTCCTCTCCGTTCGGAACGCATTTAGCATGCTCGTGAAGCTTACGTTGCCTTCCTCCCTGAAAGTCTTCTGATACCAAGTGTAGGAGAACTGAGGATCCACTTGCTTGATAGCAGTAAGGAAGTCGTAGATAGCATCATCAGCATCCTTCGTGAATGAGACCTCTGCAGCCTTGCATTCCTGGTATAGGTTTTCCCATCTCATGATCATTGCGTCAAGTCCAGAGTCTTTGACTGGTGTTGAAGCTAGAGCATTCCACTGGGTGCGTAGCTCTTGCTTCCTTTCTCTTTCAGCAAGTGAGAAACGGTCTCGAAGTGCGATAAGGAGGGTATGTACGTCGAATACGTCAACGGTAAGTTGCTGGAGCTCTGGCGCAAGTGAGTTTCGAATTCGCTCGGTGACTCGGTCTATGGCTCGCTTGATAGTGTTGTACTCGGCTAGGTCGGTATCATACTCCTTTCTGTCTTCTTGGTATTCCCGGCGACCCTCCTTCGTGAGCTTATCGCTTGTTTCTGACTCTCTTTCGTAGTCGAATTTGCTCGGTCTCACTGGCTTCGTCGGTAGGGCCGGTGGGTGTTGGTCCTCGGGATCGAGGTATTCCCAGACGTCATTGCCCTTAGCAACTGTCTGGATTTGGCTGTACCAAGTCCTCCACTGGGCGGAGGAGTGTAGCACAATGCTCGCTCGGACTAGGCCGAAGCGTTGAGCGTCGGCGGGCTCATGTCTGTAGAGCTCGTCGTATGGGAGTGACATCTCGGCGTGTTCTCTTGTTTGAATTCGGAGGGAGTTTGTGATGGCTTCAGCGTGCTTGCTCGGAAGCGACTTTGCTGGAAGCGACTTGCTCAGGGGCTCGAAGGCTTGCTCGGAAGGCTTCGAGGTTTGCGATCTCGAATACTGATTTATTCAATGATACGCTTGCTAACCGGGCTCATAACTGTCGATTCCAAGAGATACGGTACGCGCTAGTTCTACAACAGACCATTGGTCGGCCTTGATATCATAGAATGAGTGTAAATTCTAGGACAAGCTGATGCTGCGCTATTTAACCAATGCTCATGAAGCGGTGAATGGCTTGGCGAAGTAGCCATTTATACTGTAGCAAATGAGTAAGCAAAATGGGTGCTGCTAAAACTCGAGTAAGCTAGTACTGTAAGGACCGCTTTTCTTGACAGTAAAGGTTGTCCGGAGGACCTGGTTATTTGGATCTTCCTCGGTTTCGGCAGCCTTGTCCAGGCGGATAAGCAGCTCTCGTAGGTTTTGATTATCTGCCCCAGATCGAATAGTGTCAACAATCAGTTGTACTGTCGCTCCATCGCCATCAGGGAAGTGGGAGATTAGATCTTCGGTAAAGCGGCGGTAGTAATGTAACTGATCCTGTGTTCTCCTCGCAAAGCACTTGCGACGTCTGTCGTTGGCTTTATCAAAGAAGCATTCGCGGTTATGAACCCTGCATTCGTCGCACTTGGGATGGCCGCTACACTAATCTGAAGTGTCAAACTTCCGTTCCGGCATGGAGTGAAGGCAGAGGAAGGGGACGTACTTTAGTCCGACGTCTTTGACAATCTCTACAGGCCGTTGACGATCGTCTAATACGTCTGTCTTTATCGTCGCCTCCTCCAAGGCTCTGTGTTCCTGCGCCTCCGCCACCGCTGGCTCCTATGGAGGTCCGCGGTGCGAGAGGCCGAAGGCCCAGATATGTATCGATCATCATGTCTGCGCAGAGCGACAAAGCGGCTAGTAGAGTCAATCTAGGGTAATCGGATCAAATGCAAAAGCATAGACTTGGCTATACACCTCTCCACGATAATTAGCACAAACAAGCCAATCATGTCGAAGGAAGACAGACTATGAATTGCAAAAGTGTACAACAGAGGTGCTCCGGGCCACGACAAGTCTAAGCAGAAACATCCCTTAGAGGCAAGTTGAGCAGAAATAGTGCACCAGACAAGGGGATGGGAAATAAAAAAGCTGACAGTCTCAAATAAAGAAAAGGTTACCACACAATGAGCGGGCAGCTTTCAGAGACGGGAATGCAGGACACTGGCAGGGTACATGTACCAATAGTGAACACTCGCAAAGAGCCACCTGAGGCTTGCACAACCCAATGATCGACCCGCTTGATAACTCAATCACATGAAAAGATCGGGACCCGTCCAGGTGTTGTTTTGGCGCCAGGATTGTGTGGCCCTTACGTCATTGTGTGACCTGCCGCCAGGATCGGCCTGCTAGCATCCGGTGACAAATCCCTTATCAACCGGCTCATCGGATCATCCTGTGTATTAACTAGAATAAGGCATAGCCCTAGGCCAGTGTCCACAATGGTTTTATCCGCCACGATCGTAATTTTTCATCTCCACAAGCGCCCTCAATCCCTCCGATTTGAGAAAGGATATTCCTAATATCAGCACTAATGACTCATCTATATGATTAGCGACCCGGCACATCAAGACATAATGGGGCATATCCTATCATATTTACCCTGTGCCGTTCGTTTATTTTTCCCTCTGAGGGGGTACTGATGATCAGCGGCGACAGGTCACAATAAGACAACTTGGAAGCCAATAATCGTTCAGAGGACGCCTATTGCATGTATTCGTCCGGACTGGAAAATTCTGTCTGGAAGCGAACCAACAGTGTCTGCATTAGAGAGGAGAAGCGCCGTCGAAAATCGGTTCGAAGAATTTTAAGCTTCGGGATGAAGGGGTTGCAGTGCTTGGCACTGTTTACCTAAAGCCCTATAGGCACATGTAGCGTGTTCTCTTTAATTAGATCATGACATCTTGCCCATTGGTTGCTGCAGAATTCGAGTCGACTCATGTTCCTATTTTGTCATGACAATCTGCGGAAGAAGTCTCCCATATAAATATCTATCTCTGCTATCAGGCCTTAAACACACTGAACATTTGCTCCTCCAAAAAAGACCGACGGGTGTCGATGTTGGTCGGTCCACCACAAACCTGGAGACGTTCAAGGGAAGGAAGGAGACGCCATACGAGGCTGAACATCGATAGGAGAAAGCGAGTGCATTGCCGACTGGTGACATATCTGCAAAAAATCTTTCATTCACCTGTCTTCTTTATCAAATAAACTATTCGCTTGACAAGATAGTTCAGCTCAATAGAATAAGAGGGGCTAATTGAAGGTGGCTGGGTGTGGTGAACAATCCATTGCTTTTAGGTGCGCCCGAATTGAATAGCGAGCCCCAACCCTTTAAAAAAATGAGAAAGACTGTAACACACAAGAAAGTGCTACTTTAATCAAAAGAACAGTCAAACAGGGCTGGAAAGTGGAAAAGTAGAATATTGCGGATAGTAAATGCTGGGAGCAGGTAATTAGATGTTTGGTAAACAAATTGCATAAAAGAAAGTGAAGTGATTCGACTGGTAGCTACCCTGCTCAATTAGTTTCTAAGTAAACAATTATTTATCACTCATATAACCAGTTGCATGCTTCGCCAGCACGCTCATTATCAATTTGGAGTCATCCCCATTGGTTCTGGGTTGTAACTGCTGTAGGACAAATTTATAATCTTTTGCTTCTCTAGACATTTGTTCGAGCATTCTGTTTTGAGTCGTTAATACTGCCGTACCAGACCTGGCCGGAATGAGTCTCACCTTTCTGTGCGTTCGCACTTCCTCGAGGTATACCAACAATTTAGTTGCAGCGTATCACAGCGCTGGCAATTTGGACGCTCGCCAGAACATTTTGACTTGTTTACCTGGCAAGGTCTGCACGCATGTGTTATTCGTTTCTTTGGACATGGAGCGGGGCGATGTAGTGGTGGGATGGGCATTCTAGGTCTTTCAACTTGAGTAACAATAAGCCCACGCGAAACAATGGGTTTCAATATCCTGGTATCTTTTGAGTCTGGTGATTCTGAAACAAGAACAACTGCTATTAGTAGCCAAAAATTGAACGAAGAGGGTCGTCTATACCTTGTTCAAGGATCCTAGATATGTCCATATTGGGGGTGGGAACGTTAGTTTTCTTGAAATAATACAGACACAACAACCCCGGTCTGAGATTTAGTTGACCAGTGAAGACGGGTCTGAAAAGAAGGGATTTTACTTATATATCTGCTGTTATGTCAAAGTAGCAACGTCGTTCCATGCAAGGAGGCCGAGTAGTATTTATAATTTATTCTTATTGGTCAAATCTCTAGCCCGAGAATTGAACATACTTCCCAAGTGACACGTCCCGGTCAAGGAAACTTTGGGATTCCCATAACTTCCCTCACTGAAACGATCATGAACGCAGTGCGATGAATTGAAGCAATCAGCTAATACTGCAAGGGTGCCTGACGCAGTCAAAAGGACATTCCGTCATCGTGGCCCTCCTCACTCGATATGTAGTCGCATTTTTGCATTTAGTGGGGAGCTGACAAGCAAAAGTTTTAACACCCCATTAATGGACCTACCAAATATTACTAATATTCTGCCGGTTTTAACCCTCATATTATTTAACTAGGACTGCGTATACCAACCCTGGCTCTCAATAATAGCCTGTGCTCGATGCGGCATCGTCTCGGAGAGATGCTTCAAATGATCTAAATTCAAACGATCTCGCGAAGCTGTGCCGTAGCTACTAAAATAGCCTTGGTTTGCTCATTATTCTTCACCGGAATTAGGTCAGGCCGAATTTTGTAATCTCAGCTTTCATCAACGCCCACAAGTTCTCAATAGGGTTCAAATCAGGCGGATGTGGAGGCCATTCCATGACTTCAATGTAGATCTTGTAGTGCGTCTCGGACAATATGTGCTGTGTGCGTTGGCGCGTTATCACGCTGAAAAAAATGCAGTCCTCGTTGGCTATTAGGGTAGGCAAAGTCCTGCGTGGGCTGTCATTGATAAAACTTTCATCACACACCGGGCACTGAGTTTATATTTTTCCCTCCAAAGCTTTAGAAAGCACCAATCTCCCCCATGGTCTCTCAAAACGTGCCACTTTCAGACTGCGATAATATTCCTTATGTGTCATGCAGGTTGGTCAAGGTCTGGGATCCAAAATATGTGTGATGAGGCGTATATTACGAATTCGCCTTAGAACCCTGTTCGCCCAGAAATGGCTTCTGGCCCAAATCCTTTTCGCCCACTGGTACGCGTTAATGCGAGGATTCCCCAGTGTCTTGCGCGTCTGAGCAATATATACCAAGACTTCCTCCTTGGACCACGGCGTCGGATCGCCGTATTTGGTGAGTAAACGGCGGACCTGTGAATTGCCTTTTCGAGTTATATTTACCCTTTTGGATTTCGCGCCTCAATACGCCGTCACGTAGCCTCTCTTTAGTGCTCTTCGATATAAAAAGACCCGTCTTCGCTGCTCTTTGCTATTCCTCTACCTCTCCACCTTACACTTATCGCTACGCCTCTACAATTTCGCCCACCTAATCGGACTAGCCGACTGCCCTATTCACCCCCCTATTTTCCATTGCAAACTACGGCTAAGCCCTTATTGCCTTTACACTTCACTCTTAGGATCGGAAATATTCGGCCTCTTAGCATAGGTAGCAATTATAAGGAGGTTACAAAGCTTTTAGAAGAGCAATACGACACAGATTATTCGTTTATAGGGTATTCACTTGGCCGTTATAGTCTACTCGTTCTTTAAATATCTCTATGTATTCCCCTGGATCATTCTCTTGTCCTTAATTCGATATTTATACACCCGCAAAGCGGATAGAAAGGGTAGATCGTACATTAAAACGGCGCGACACTTCACGAATTGAAGAGAGTTCTTTATTCTTAAAAGCCTAGATAATTAAAGAGATCCTACCCTCTTGCTCTATTAAAATTTTTAACGACTAAGTGCAAATTGCTGGCATGGTGCGTGGTTGAAGAAGAAGGTTTAAATTAATTGACGCGTTTCCGGTGGTGTGGCCAGCGTGGTAGTGAATTATAATATCGAGCAGATAAAGCTGCCTGATAAGCAAGTGGTTATAGATCCAGCAGGGCACTATCGAAACATGAGAATTTATCATATTAGTAATAAGAACAGTGACAGAGCCAAGAAGGTTAGGTTAAGCTCACAGTGTTTCCACAACTTCCACAGTTACTTGGATCCGTATCAAGGTTGACGCAGGCCCCATCACAACAGGTCAGGCCGGACGCGCACTATCGAGCACCAGTTAGTCATCGTCACAAAATGTGCAGCCTGTGGCCGTCTTACAGGAGGATCACAATCTGGCGGGTTTGGGACACAGATACAGCCTCTATTTCATATCAGCTTTCAGATGGCTCTGCAATCCAAGGACGATCGAGAAAGAGACTAACGGCGTAGTTTGTCCAAGGATAAGCCCAAGTAAACTGGGAGATTCACTACCGTTGTCGCAGTAACCTGATTGGTCACCTAATCTCCGGCACTTAATTGAATCAGTATGTTAGTATCAGCAACCTCTTTGGATATCCACAAGTCCTACCTTGGCGTCACAAGCGGCCGCGTCACAACCACCCCCACCCCCAACCCCAACCCCAATGTCTCCAATATCACCACCCCCAGTGTCAATGTTAATCCCACCACCATTCCCATTGGCAATATTGTTACCCCCGTGGGAAACCTTATTCCCACCCCTAGGCCCACCCCACTTTTCTAGAGCTTCTTCTCCAGTGAGCGCAGTGACAAAAGCACCGCTTAAAAGGGTAAGAAGAGCGAAACGCATCTTTGCAAAGGCGTTTGCTTCAAACGATAAAAAATTTGGTAAGGAAAGAATATCGGTTTGAACCCGTCGTGCTGCTCGTGGTAAAGAAGAACAATTTGTTCTACCCTCTCAGGGAAAGCGGTTATATGTACTATGCTCACGGTCATTCATTCACTGTCTAAGTTTTGTATCACAAATGGAATGTTTGGACACGTTCCCCGGAATGTGAATGTGAATAACTTACATTTATAATGTGGAAGTCCAGGGGTTTATGCTACGTTCTTAAATTCAGGCAAAATGTTCTGGCGATCAGAATAAAGAGTCGTAGGATCTAATTGGTCTTCCTGCATGCTCCTGACACCCCCCAAAAACATTAAATCTTGAGGCTTGAGCGTGTTTTTGCACGTACCCAACCCCTTATCAATTGCTATCGAGTGTGAGAGAGACAAAGTGCGAATTAGGAAGGAGTAGCGAGATTTATTGTATTAAGAACATCCTAATATACTCTTATTTTTATTTAATCTCATAACAGCCTCCATTCAGCGAGGAGGCAAGTCCTAAGAACGGCGGATAGTAAGAGCTGTTACAGGTTAGACGAATGATTACTCTTACCCGTTTTAGTAAGAATACGCCAGGCTATATACACAACGGGAGGACCGGGTTGGAAATAAACTCGGTGCTTCGTATACTGTATATATTTCGGGAATTATTTCTCGTTTGCAAAACAAGAAGTGATGAAGAGACTCTACAATGGCCCCATATCCGATGCCAAAAAGAAACGAAACATGATACAAAAGGTGTAGCGTAGCGTCTTTGTGCCGTAGCGTCTTTGTGCCAACACGACTTGCGCTCGCTTGATACGTAATAGCAAAAACGTACAATGTGACCGTACCAGGAGGGAGGGTCGGCCGTAAAAGATAACGTGTCAATATTGGAAGCCGATCCGACCGCTCGTGCCTAATTACCTTCGGGCCTAACGCGACAGGACGCCAAGACTACCGCCACTCCTGCGTATACCCTTTTCTAGGGCGCTTAGGAATGACGATATATCCGGCCCTAATAATAATAATATACGCTTCTACTAGACGGAGGTTACTGCTAGCTATATACCTACGATCCTAAAGGGGCACATACAAGCTTAATGTCTATCCCTCGAAGTATCCCGTAGGCTTCCCCTAGAGCAGTCAAGCAAAAGAATGTACTTGATCGACCGTATAACTAGAGAAAACGTGAGTGATTTACATTCTAGGTAACATATCCAAACATTCCATTAGTGGTACAAAAATTAGGCAGTTAGTGAATGACCGTGAGCACACTACATATAACCCTCTCCGCTGAAAGGGTAGACAAAATGTTCTTCTTTACCACGAGCAGTACGACGGGTTCAAACCGATATTCTTTTCCTACCGAATTCTTTATCGTTTTGGCCGAACGCCTTTGCAAAAATGCGTTTCGCTCTTCTTACCCTTTTAAGCGGTGCTTTGGTCACTGCGCTCACTGGGGAAGAAGCGATAGAAAACTGGGGTCGGCCTAGGGGTTGGGATAAAGTTTCCCACGGGGGTAACAATATTGCCAATGGGGATGGTGGTGGAATTAACATTGACACTGGGGGTGGTGACATTGGGGACATTGGGGTTGGGGTTGGGGGTGGAGGGGGTGGGGGGTTGCGACCAGGCCGCTTGTGACGCCAAGGTAGGATTCGGGTTATCCAAAGAGGGTGCTAATACTCACATACTGATTTGTTGAAGTGTCGAAGTTTAGGTGATCAGTCAGGTTACTGCGACAACGGGAGTGAATCTCCTAGTTTACTTGGACTTATCGTTGGACAAACTACGCCGTTAGTCTCTTTCTTGATCGTCTGGGATTTGCAGAGCCACCTCAAAGCTGATATGAAATAGAGGCTGCATTTGTGTGCCAGCAAATTGTGATCCTGCTTCTTCTTGTAACGGGCAATGTGTAAGACAGCTGCAGACTGAATATTTTGAGACGACTACTAAGTGGTGCTCGATAGTGCGCGTCCGGCCTGACCTGTTGTAATGGAGCCTGCATCGACCTCCAGAACACTCCTAGTAACTGCGGTACTTGTGGAAACACTGTGCGTTATCATCCCTTGCTAATGGAGGCAAAAGCACTGACCCTTGTGTTACAGTGCGCAGCAGGTGACGATTGCTGCAATGGAGCCTGTACCAACCTCCAGGACAGTCTCAGTAACTGTGGTGCTTGTGGGAACACTGTGAGTTGAGTCTAGCCTTCATACTTCGAGGAAATTTGCTATACTGTCGATATGAGTATTGGCGCTAATATATTTAAATCTTACGCTTCTATAGTGCCCTGCTGGATCGACCTGCTCATCAGGCACCTGCGAACTATGCACGAGCTTCCAGGCGCAGGCCACATTCGATGCGGGGTCCGGGCCGATCAGTGTTGCAGTGGGCGACTTTAACGGAGATAGCCATATTGATATCGTGGCTGCCAATCCCAACAGCAATACGGCAAGCGTCTTGCTCGGGACTGGATCCGGGAGCTTCCAGGCGCCGACCACATTCCCAGTGGGGCCCGGGCCGAACGTTGTTGCAGTGGGCGACTTCAACGGAGATGGCGATCTGGATATCGTGACTACGAATTACTTCGACAATACAGTGAGCGTCTTGCTCGGGACTGGATCGGGGAGCTTCCAGCCGCAGGCCACATTCCCAGTGGGGTCCGGGCCGATAGGTATTGCAGTGAGCGACATCAACGAAGATGGCAATCTCGATATCGTAATTGCGAATCAGGTCAGCAATACAGTGAGCGTCTTGCTCGGGACTGGATCTGGGAGCTTCCAGGCGCAGACCACATTCCCAGTGGGGCCTGGGCCGAACGTTGTTGCAGTGGGCGACTTCAACCAAGATAACCATCTTGATATCGTGACTTCGAATGTTAACGATGGTACAGTGAGCGTCTTGCTCGGGACCGGATCCGGGAGCTTCCAGGCACAGACCGCATTCCCCGTGGGGTCCCTGCCGTTCGGCCTTGCAGTGGGCGACTTCAACCAAGATAGCCATCTTGATATCGTGACTTCAAATGTCAACGACGGTACAGTGAGCGTCTTGCTCGGGACTGGATCGGGGAGCTTCCAGCCGCAGGTCATATTCCCCGTGGGGTCCTTTCCATTTAGTGTTGCAGTGGGCGAGTTTAACGGAGATGCCTATCTCGATATCGTGACTACGAATAGAGGCGACAATACAGTGAGCGTCTTGCTCGGGACTGGATCGGGGAGCTTCCAGCCGCAGGCCACATTCCCCGTGGGGTCCCGGCCGATTGGTGTTGCAGTGGCTGAGTTCAACGGAGATGGCCAGTTCGATATCGTGACTTCGAATGTCAACGAAGATACAGTGAGCGTTTTGCTCGGGAAGCCTTGCGACGATTAGAACCGCCCTGTGAATCGTGGACCGGGTACATGTGAAAATGTCTTATACTTTTTGCGACATACCGGAAGGCTTCCCGTAGGAACCTCGGACCCTTGTTGGGATTTCGGACTCGGCTTGGGACTATCATTCGGGAATAATCCTTAATAGTGACATCCTGTTTAGATCACATGACTTGAGCGGTCATGTGACCCCGTATGGTCCTGAGTAGACCTCGCCAAGCACGGGTTTGGGTCGGGTTTTCAATTTCTTTACCCGCCCACGGGTAATCCACTATGGGTCTTAGTCTTCATAAACCCGCCTGTTGAAATTATTATTATTATTATTATTATTGATTATTTAACGTCGCCGGCAGGTCACTTGGCAGGTGACCCACTACCTCCCGAGGGGTAACTGGACGTGCTACCTAAGCGAGGATTTACTACAACTAGCTAACTAGCTCAACTAAATACACGCTGGAAAGCAGCAAAATTGAGCACTACGTGCTGAGAAAGGGTTAAAGAAGCGCCAGGCACTATCCTGGCCTGGGTTCCTGGGGGTGGACTGACTACCCGCGGATGGGAGAGGGTGCCGGCCTCTCCCATCTGCGCAGAGGTGAAGACTGTTGCGCTATGCGGCGCATGTTTGTGCCCGATTTGGGCAGATGTCCTTGAAGAAGAACGTTTCTTGCACGAAACGGCCGAATTCCTCGGCCCCAGCAGCTGTGCTCAGTATCCAGTTTATCCTTGCAGATGGGCTGGCCTTTCGGCCTTTCCATCGATCCTTCCAGCGTTTCCTCGCAGGCGGGCAGAAGAAGAAGTGGACGGGGGATTTTGGCTTACCGCAGGAGCAGGTCGTAAGGGAGTCCCTGTGATGGAACCTCTCGTGGTATACCTGGAAGTCACCATGGCCAGTCCGTGCGGCTAGCAGCCGGCCGAGCACCCCGCGGGGAAGCCTGTGTTCCCGAGCGCGGCTGCTCTTGGTGTGAGGTTGGATATTTAGGTCTCGGTATGCCTGAGGTGCGTCTCTGGTATACGCGGCACGCGTTGCCGTGCGGATATGTTGTTTTGCTTCGCGCACAAGGTAAGATGGGGAAGGGGGAATATGGGAGCCGTCTAACGCTGCGCCCCTCTTTGCTAGCTCATCGGCAGTCTCGTTCCCTGCTATCCCAGAGTGGCCTGGCATCCAGCGCACCTCCACGGGCGTGCGGGGTGTGCTGAGGATATAGGGAGCGGATTCCCACTGGGTAGTAAGCTTTTGGAATAAGTCCGTGAGTTTTCGTCTGTGTGGCGCAGGCCTCCCGTCCGCGAGTAAGCTAGCGGCAGCGAGGTTATCGAGGAGGACAACGAGGCCGGTGGAGTAGCTTGCACAGGGTAGGTTGACAGCCGCCTGGAGGCCCTCTACTGCGCCCATAATCTCGGCGTCGTACACCTCTGACTGGGAGCCAGCTGGCCCATACCCTTGGGTGATAGGGATAGAGCCGTAGTAGACCACGAACCCGTACCCAGCCCCTTGGCCAGTGCGTGAGCCGTCCGAGTAGACCGTTAACCGTAGCGGTGCTGGTGCGTATGCGGCCTTGTTTGCGTCTGTAGTAGGTAGTATGCGGAGCGGTGGGAGACGTGACTCTACACGTGCTCTCTCCGGTGCCGGCGTTGGGACGCGTTGGAGGATTCTGGTGAGTCTCGTCCCTTTAGTATCGTATGCATCGATGGTAACTCTCGCGATCGGGTGCCTAGCGTCTAGGCTCGCGTATCGGACTGCTGCTCTTTGGAGGACGCCGTCGAGGAGGGCTTCCGGGTAGGGTAGGTCTGCCTCGCGGAGTAGCGCTGAGGTAGGGGTTGTTCTGTAAGCTGGAAGAATGGCTAGAGCAGCGAGCCGGAGTAGGGAGCGTAGGGAGTCGATGAGGCCCTTCTGCCCTCGGCCGGTGTAGAAGACCTCCGCGCCGTATAACGCTGTCGGTATCACGCACTGAATGACCGCTGCGCGCATAGAGGCAACCGGGCATCCTCGCTGGGTGTTGCTGAGTTTCCGGAGATGTAGTGCGAGCTGCTTGCCCCGGCTGAAGACCCAGTTGATGTGTGGTCGGTAGGTGAGCTTGCTGTCCAGTAAGATGCCTAACCAACGGGTATATGGGGATGGCTTAATCTCGCCTACCCCTGGTAGAGTGACCGTAGGCGCGGACAGCTTCCGCTGCTTCGAGAAATGTTGTATCTCCGTCTTCTCTAGGGAGAATGGGAGACCTGATGCTGCTCCAGATAGGGTGATCGTTTTGTATACTTCTACTAGCTGCTGGGATGTCTCCTCGAGGGAGTCCCCGACGAACAGTAGCCCTAGGTCATCCGCGTAGCAGAAGGAGTTATCTTGCGAGGAGACTATCTGCGCCGCATATAGGAGGAAGAGGACTGGGGACAGCGGGGACCCCTGTGGGAGGCCTCCTCTTATTTTTGCGGTGGCGGTAGCGTCTCCGACCTGGACCGAAACGGAGCGGTCGGATAGCCAGTCGTGTATCCAAGAGGTAAGGCCTTCGTCCCATCCCTGGAGGCGTAGGTGGGATAGGAGCCGCTGGTGATCAACCGCGTCGAAGGCCCCTTTCACGTCCAGTAGTAGTAACGAGGCCACCTTCTTCTGCTGGAAGGCTCTCTCCACCCTATGGGTAAGGATCTGGACTAGGTCTACGGCTGAGCGGCCGGGTAGGGCGCCGAAGTGGCACGATGTTAGTAGTTGTGCTTGAATGGTCTGAACCGTGAGTCGCTGCGCGATGAAGCGTTCTAGGCCTTTGCCTAGGGTGGAGAGTAAGCTAATGGGTCGCCAGGACTTTGGCTGGGTGAGGTCCCTCTTCCCCGGCTTTGGTAGCATAACGACCTTTGCAGATTTGAAGGTTTGCGGGAAGTGCCCTTCTGTTAGGCTGCGGCGGAAGAGTGATGTGACTAGGTCGCCCACGACCGACCAGAGTTCCCTCCAAACTGTCGTGGCAAGTCCGTCCTCTCCAGGGGCAGACGGAGTGGGCGCGCAGAGGGCGGCCCAGCAGTCCTCCTTCGTTGGTAGTCCTACTGGATCTCGGGGCTGAGTCGGGGGACCCTCCTCCTGCTGGTGCGGGAGAGAGGTTCCCTTCTCTAGGAGGTGAGTGAGGAAGGTGTCCGCCTTGCCCTGTGGCGTCGTGACCCGGTCGTTCCGGATATGTAAAGGGGGAGCGGAGAGCTGGTCTGCGCGCCTGTGCAATCTGGCGAGTGTGAAGGCGTCTGTGGGTGAAGTGGCGTGCTCGATCCGCTCCTTCCAGTGGCTGGCCTTCGCGCGGGAAACCGCTCTCCGAAGTGGCAGGTAGTCGGGCGCCTGCTGCTGCCGTGTCTGTCGTAGCAGGTCTGTGAGCTCTGACGTCCACCAAGGGGTACGTGGGAGCCCGCGGGTGTTATATTTAGATGCGCCTCGGATGGCTTCTTGCACGGTGTTGACTAGTTTTTCGGCTATGTCGTCAACAGGAAGGTCCTTATGCGGCAGGTTGAGTAATGCCTTAGCCTTCTCCCAGTCGGTCGAGCCCAGCTTCCGGCGGGGTGGGGGTTTCCTGCCAGTCTACTGTTATTAGTATCGTTGCGTGGTCACTCGTGGAAGAGAGGTGGTCCTCTGCTGTAGCTTCCACGGGGATGTCCGAGAAGACGAGGTCTATGGTGTTTGGCCCGCGGGTAGGGGTGCCGGGCTCGATGCAAAGGGCTAGTCCGTTGGCCTCCAGCCACTCTATAAGCGCTGTTGCTCCTGGGGTAGTGTTGTGAGCCTCCGTCTCCGGCTGCCAGAGTGGGTGGTGGGTGTTGAAGTCCCCGGCTAGGATGGTGTTCTGCGGGGGGGAAGTACTGCAGGAGCGTGTGGAGGGTAGATGGTGTTGAACTGGATGTGTTTGGGACCACTAGATCCTTTGGGGGGCGGTAAGTGTTGATTATTGTGAGTCCGGATATGCAGACTGCTGCGATATCGGGCGAATCGGGGTGTGGGAGGGGGAACGCGGGGAGGTCCCTGCGTACGTATGTCAGAGCTCTAGGCCTAGCTCCCCAGCGGGTGGTAGGGCCAAACAGCTGGTAGCGTGGGTGAGTCTTCGTGAGTTGCCTCGTCATATCAGTCCAGGGCTCCTAGACTAGGATGACGTCAGCTTCGTACGATAGAAGTAGGTCGTGGGGACATTAGCCTGTAGTATTCTCATAGCTCTGCGTTGGGGGAGAGTTGGTTCGCGAGCTCCTGGGAGAGCTGGCTTGACGGTTGATAGTGAAGACCCGGGTTAGTCGCTCGTGGGTCAGGGGTGCGTCTAGCTTGTTGTTGCTGGAAGGCGGTCCGGCCGGCCTTACGAACGGCAGTCAAGGCAGCTTTCGAGAGGCGGACGATAGCCCCTTTCTGTGTATAGGGCCTAGCGGGGCATTTTGGGTAGTCCGCAGCATGCGGTCCATGGCAGTTAATGCATTGCGCGCGGCAGGTATGTTCTGGCTTGGACGATCCGCAGGAGACGCAGCGTTCGCTAGAGCGGCAGGCCCGCGTGTCATGGAAGCTGTGGCAGCGGGTACACTGTAGCGGCCGTTGCTTTGGGCGAGTAGGCCTAGAAAGGCCGGAGGCGCCGAATAGCTGAAGCATGTAGCGGAGCTTCTTTGGGAAAGCTATAACCGCTGTGACAGAGTCTGCTTGGATCTGGTGGTTAGAGAGCTTAGTCGTGAGCGGCTTTTGGCCGGTTATTCGCTCCGCTTCTACACTAATATCGCTGACTGTAGTGGGCATCCAGCCATTATCGGGGGTCCAGATTCGCTGTGGGATACGGGAGACCACGACCTGGTGGTATTCCGTCGCGGCCTCGAAGTAGCCGTCCCCGGCTAGCTGTTTAGCCTGGGAAGAGAGTAGGAAGGTCGTGCCTTCTTTGGTTGCGGATATAGCGTAGCCTGTAGGGACAGTTTGTACTCGTGTGATTTCGCCGGGGACTTTGCATGCTAGTGTGACTCGGACGCCATGGGGCCCAATATCCCGTAAGCTGGAGGAGCTTGGGAGTCGGAGGAAGATGCGGGAGTCGCTTTCTTTCGTCTGGCGCTGCCGCTGCCGGGTTCGGTCACGTTGGTTCGGCGCCGTGGTTTGCCAGGCTTCCTGGCCGGGCACGGGACTGGCTATCGAGGCCCAGGGCTGGGCCTGCGGGATCTGAGGTGCTCGCTGGGGGGCAGTGGGTGCCGTGGGCTGGGGAAGCGGTGGAGGACCTGGGGGGCCTTGCTGCGGTACATCGCGGCGGGCTAGGGAGATGAACTTCGTTGCGAGTGCGCTGGCGAGCTCGCGTGGGCGGCCCTGTAGGGAGGAGATAGCCGAGTCAAGCGCTTCGGCGAGGGAGGTTGTTGCTAGCTTCCAGTCGCTCAGGAAGAGGAGTTGGTCGTCCGCAGCTGCGCTGACCTGTTGGCGGACGGAAAGGGTGCGCGTCGAGGCCGGAAAGGCTGCCGGCGCCGTGGCAGGTGGCTTGCTCGGTGGAGAGACTGCTCTACGTTTCAGGGAGCTTCGAGGGAAGGGAGTAGGCGTGGCAGGGTCCGAAGGGGGTTCCGAGGAGTCGAAGAGGTGCGGAGTTCCCGGTCGAGGGTCGGCCGCAGGGGGGTCGTCGACCTCCATCTGGCGGGGCCGAGCGGTAGTAGGGATAAGTAGTGTATGTGAACTCTGTTGGAATATCCCGGTTGCTGGGATGTGTGTGTGTGTGCCGCCTGTTGAAATATCCGGGAATTGATAGGGACACTCCCACTTTTGTTCCGGACACTCCTAATTATGTAATATCCATGATTAGGTAATTGAAAACGTCATGTGATTGTAACGTGATTCCCGGCTACGCGGTCACCCCATCAAAAATTCAAATCTTCTACATTTCTTAAACTCCATTTACACCACCAAAACACCATTAAATTGACAATTTAAATATCCTGCGGGCATTTAGAACACCTATGCCCTTTTCCTCCGCATTTAGAACACGTGATTTGCCGACGCACAGGGGGCAAAACCGGTAGTGAAGGTTCAACAATAGGTTCTTGGGCAGCTACAGGACCAGATATATATTCACCTACACCACCTCTTTCTCCACCAACAGGATTTATGATATCCAAAACTTCGGTTAAACTGCCTTCATGAGCAATTTGCCTCTTAGATCTAGCTCTTTTTTTCACCTGTTTTCTGTTTGCCTCCCGTAAACGCTTGATTTCATCCTTCATTAAGATTTGCGAATGAAGCATCTTGACAGTCATGTTATAATACTGCTGAAGATCCCGTTTGGTGGGCGAAGAGATCTTATCTGTGACTGAACTTAGACCAGAATCGAGCCTAGATTTCCGTTGTTTGAGTTGTTTGGTTGTCCAAGGGATACCGGTCGAGATATTGCTATCAGAAGTTGAACCTTGTGAGGTTGGTCGATTCGGGAGGGGTGGGGATTGAAGACGAATATTGAGCTTTTCTAGCACACGATCCAGGTCTAGAGGAACTAAACCAGTAGCCGCGAAGGCATTCTGAATCGTAGTCTCTTTAAAAGCGTGCGGTCGTGTTTGTGGAAAGATCTCTAGGAAGTCTTCTTTCTCAATAGAATCGATACCCAATCTCATATACTCCGCAACTTCTGTGCCGTAAAACTTCTTTAAAACAGCGAAACAGCCAACATCCAAAGGCTGTAAAAGATGAGAGGCATGCGAAGGCATACAAATTGGAATGATGTTGTTTTTTTTGCAGATCTGGTCGAATCTAGCCGTAAGATGGCTGTCGTGGCCATCAAGGACTAGAAGTCTGAATTTCCCCTTTGTCTGGCTTGTTGTATGTGGAATGAAGTGCTTTTGAAGCCAATCCAATCCAATATCATTGCTAGTCCAGCCTTTAGGACTAACATTGAGAGCCCACTGCTTTGGAAGGTCATCGAACCATCTAGCCATAAAGTTTTTGCCCTTAAAAATGATATATGGTGGAAGGGCCCTCCCAGACGCGCAGATAGATTCGATAACAGTGACCCATTCACGATTCCCAGCCTGTAGAACACCTCTCCGACCATGAAAGAATGCTTGCGTGATAACCCTTGTAGTCGCATTTATCCCCATAGCAAAGCCAGATTCATCAAAGTTATAGATATCATCCGAAACAATGCCGTTTTCTCGGATTGTTTTCTCAACCAGCTTAAACCACTCAATTATTATGGCTGGGTCCTCATTCTGGGCCCTCTTGTAGTCATATTTGCGTGAGAAACGAGTAGTAAGGCCTGGATGCCTTTTAATAAACTCAGTTGGCCAATTTTTACCCACAGTTGGAGGGGTTGAAGAGGAGCTAGAATCGCGGGATTGCAACAGTAAACTAGCCATATCTCTTAACATAGAGATTGTGAGAGCTGCACCTCTCTGATCCATGGAAACTAACCAATCCTGGATAGATTCCTCTTCAAGCTGAGTAAATTTATACAGAGCTGAGCGAGTATCGGACTGATTTGTTCGCCCTATGATCCTAGCACCGAGTGTTGTACGTGGAACATCAAAAGACCGAGCAGCAGCAGCGACCGAAGTAAATCTGCCATTCTGAATAGCTTTGATAGCTAATAGGATACGGCCCTCCTGTTCAATAGATTTTTGTGCTTTTTGCGAGCGTTTTGGAGGCATGGTGACTGCTTGAAAACAGAGGGTTACTACGGAGACGAAAATTATGAGGGGGTGACCGCGTAGCCGGGATGACCGGCTAGCCGGGAATCACGTTATTGGAATTACCACAGCAACATCATTCTAAATGTCATACCATAGTATAGTATAAATCCCCAGCCCTCGCCTCCCTCTTTTCTTAGCTCCTCAAATCTCTGCCTCTCGGATTTTTCAGAAATGGAGCCCCCTACTGAGCAAATTTTTGATAGCAGAGATTTATTAATTGCCTCTGTCCGTCAGCATGCTCTCTCGCAAGGTTACGCTGTCACTACTATACGATCAATCACAGATAAGTACATCTATCTTGGTTGTGACCGTGGTGGCACGTATCGTGACCGAGTGAATGCTCCTGATGGAGCGAAACGAAGAACGACAACTACACGGCGGATTGGCTGTCCATTTAAGCTATACGGGAAAATGCTTTTTGATGATAAGTGGGAGTTACAGGTCCAAAACCGGAATCATAATCACACAGCTGATGATAATATGATCGGACATTCAGCTGCCCGTCGGCTCACAGAGGAGCAGCTTCAAAAGGTCCTACATCTATCGGAAATTGGATCTAACCCTCGTGGCATCCTAGCTCTAATCAAACGAGAGCATCCTAATGCTTTAGTTACCCCTCGAGACATCTACAATGCGCGAAGTGCTTTACGAAGGCAAAAGCTCGGTAATAGCACTCCCCTTGAGTTTCTACTGAAGACTTTGAAGGAAAATCACTGGAAATATGCTATTAAGCAGGATAGCGAAGGACATGTCCTCTTTTTTATGTTTGCACACCCAGAGTCAATCAAGTATGCTAACCTATACAACAGGGTATTCGTCCTAGACTGCACCTATAAGACAAACCGATATCGTATGCCTCTATTGCATATTATTGGTGTCTCGCCATCAAATTCAACCTTTAGCGTTGCATTTTGCTTTATGCAGAATGAACAGGAAGAGAGCTATATTTGGGCTTTAAAGACTTTTTTCTCATTTCTCGACCCCCTCTCTTTCTATCCAGTTCTTTGTACAGATAGAGACCTTGCATTATTAGGTGCTGTCAAGGTCGTCTGTCCAGATTATCCCCATCTTCTTTGCATCTGGCATATTAACAAGAACGTAACGTCTAATACGAAGCAGCATTTTACGACGAACGCCGAATATCAAACATTTCAAAAATCATGGAATCAGCTAATTTATTCTACTACAGAGAACGACTACAATTCGAGGCTATCAGAGTTCGAGAAGCGATATCAGACCTCCCCTTCTCTTCGATATGTTAAGGAGACATGGCTAATTCATAAAGAAAAATTTATAGTTGCATGGACACAACAATGCCTACACCTCGGTAATTCTGCGACCTCTCGAGTTGAAGGCTCACATGCCTTTTTAAAAAGCACATCGGTGCTTCGACAGGGGATATGTTGATCGTATTTGAAAGGATTTCACAGGCTTTACAAACCCAGCATGCTACGCTTGAATATGATTTTAGACGAGATCAGATTGAGAGGCCAGTAGTAACCTTACATCAACTTTATACTAATATTGTGATCAGGACCTCCCGCTATTCGATACGACTAATTGGCGAGCAAGTTACAAAGGCTAGAAGAGCTACAAATCTTGCTCCTTTACCCCCTTGTACTAATACGTTCACAAGGACAATGGGTCTTCCTTGTGCCCATCGGATTACTAGTTTATTGGAGAGCAATAAAGCTATCCCATTGACAGATATCCACCCATTCTGGCGAACTGGGCTTTCTGAAATGGAATCAGAATACCTTCCTCTCTTAGAGCCTTTGATTCCTTTTCCAAAGCCTAAAAAGCGGAAGTGGGATCAATTGGAGCAGAAAGACGACAGCGAGACTATGAATAAACGGAAGAGGGCACCCTTTAAATGCACTGCATGTGGTAAAGTTGGGCATACACGAAGGTCATGTAAATAATACGGAGAATGAATACCAATACAATCACATGACGTTTTCAATTACCTAATCATGGATATTACATAATTAGGAGTGTCCGGAACAAAAGTGGGAGTGTCCCTATCAATTCCCTGTCCGGAACAAAAGTGGGAGTGTCCCTATCAATTCCCTGTCCGGAACAAAAGTTGGGAGTGTCCCTATCAATTCCCGCGAGGAGCGAGCCGGCCACCTAACGTAAAACGCGTCCAGTAATTAGACCTCTCTTCTTCAACCACCCACCATGCCACCAGTTCGTACTCAATCCTCTCGAAATTTAATTGAGCAAGAAGGCATGGTCTTATTAGCTATCCAAGCTATTAAGAAGCAAGACATTGCTTCAATTCGCGAAGCAGCGCGTTGTTTTAATATACCGCGTACAACACTTCAAGATCGACTACGCGGCCATGAGAACCGCGCCGAAACCCGCCCAAAATTGCCAAAAATTGACAGACATTGAAGAGGAATCGCTTAAAAAATGGATTCTTTCTATGGATTTACGCGGAGTAGCCCCCCGGCCGGCGACTGTACGAGAAATGGCCGATTTATTACTCGCGACGCGTGGGACTACTACACTTCAACACGTCGGCCAGAATTGGGTTTCTAACTTCGTAAAAAGACATCCCGATCTATCAGCCCGATTCTCAAGACGCTATAGCTACGAGCGCGCAAATTGCGAGGATCCGAAGATCATCGGAGATTGGTTTTCTCTCGTCCAAAAGACTATACTTCAATACGGCATCGATTCCGACGATATCTATAACTTTGACGAGACTGGATTCGCAATGGGTATTATTTCTACCGCAAAAGTCGTGACAAGGGCTGAATTCTACGGTCGGCGATTACTTTTACAGCCCGGAAATCGCGAGTGGGTTACCGCAATTGAATGTATAAATGCCCCGGGTTGGGGTTACCTCCGTGTATCATTTTTAAAGGCAAAGTCTTTATCGAGTCTTGGTTCGACGGCCTTCCGGACGATTGGCACTTCGAGGTTAGTCCAAAAGGATGGACTTCCGACCAAATTGGACTTCGGTGGCTCGAAAAGCTCTTTATTCCGTCTACTTCTTTACGAACGAAGGGGAAGTATAGACTTTTGATCCTCGACGGCCACGGAAGCCATTTAACACCGAAGTTCGATCAAATCTGCGAAAAAAATGATATCATTCAATTTGTATGCCTCCGCATTCATCTCGTCTTTTACAGCCGCTCGATATCGGCTGTTTTGCGGTGTTAAAGCGCTCTTAGGTCGGCTTGTCGAAACGAAAATGCGTCTTAATATCAATCACATCGATAAGCTAGATTTCCTCGAGGCGTACCCATCCGCTCGAATTGAGACATTCCAATCCGAGACAATTAAAAGTAGCTTCGCGGCAGCCGGTTTAGTGCCCTCGGCCCCGATCGAGTGCTCTCGAAGCTCGATATTCGCCTTTATACCCCAACACACCCCTCGAGCCGGGGTAGCGAGTGGGAGCCAAAAACGCCTTCGAACTACATTTAATTACAAAAGCAAGCATCCTCAATTAAAGCTTTATTAAAGCAGCGCTCAAGAAGCCCACCGAGTCCGCTTAATTCCGCGATTAATCAGGTTTTAAAGGCTTGTCAAATTACGATGCAATCGACAGCTTTTCTCGAGAAAGAAGTACGCGATTTGCGTGCCGCCAACGTGACGCAGAAGCAAAAAAGGACTCGGTCTACTAGGTGGATAGCTCACGAAGGTAGTATCTCCGTCCAAGAGGTTCGTGAGCTACGGTCGGAGCCAATTGAGTCCCAAATAGCCCGTATAGCCCAGGTTCGTGAGCAGATTTCAGGGCCTTTACAGCCCCGAACGAGGGCCTTACCAAAATGCGGCTTATGTGGAATTCAGGGGCATAAAAGAAATGCATGTCCAGATAGGTCTAGTTAGATTTATTACTCAATTTAATAGCGTTGTGGTGAGATAAAAGCATTTAAATGTAATACATCGAGGGTAGGTGGCCGGCTCGCTTGTGTGGCCGGCTCGCATGTGGATTACGTTAGTTAACGTATTACACATGCGAGCGGCTCACCCAAGCGAGCGGCCCAGCTCAAAACGCCATACTAAATGGGATAAATCACAGCTTGATATCTCAACAACGGTGTGTGTAAGTACTTCGCATGATAGCCTAATGCTTTTCATATGATATTTAGTCTATTTTAGGGACTTTGGAGAATTTCTTGGACTTAGTGGTTAAAATATATATATTTCTGGCTCACAGCAACGTAATTTTCGATATATGATATTGCAGCCTACCAATTTCCTTGAAGCTGACATATAGCATTTAAAAGTCTTATCAAGAGCTATCGACAAGCAATAAGGTAAAACGAAAACGTGGTTGTTAAGATATCAAGTTGTAATTTATCCCATTTAGTACGGTGTTTTGAGCTGGGCCGCTCGCTTGGGTGGGCCGCTCGCATGAGAATTATGTTAGCCAAAGGAGGTGGGGGGCCCCGCAAATATATCAATCCCCGCAATATATATGATATAAGATTGGCGTGATGGTACATGATCGTAATTCATTGGACAAGATCAGCCGCCCCACTAGGAATTGTTACCGCCCCTATTGAAACGCTTGTGTAAAACCAAGAGTGGGGTCACGCGGTCTATCATCGACCATACTACGTCGATCTAGCCCTATTTTCTACATACAAGCTAAAGTGCGAGACGCGAACGCAATTCCTGGAAGGTCCGGAGAGGGCTTAGGTTTCCCGTTCGAAGGACCTGGCCCCTGCAATGAACTCAGATGCTAAGCTTAGCCATTTACAGCTGATGCAAGCCCCAGGTAGAAAAAAGCAGTGGTCATTCTTGGCATGATGGCCAGTGAACTGTGCATCATTATTTTTATCCAGCAATTCCTGCTATGTTTATGAGAGGTCAGACAAATCATCCGGTGGTCAGGATGGAGACTCAAGAAAGGTATTCAAAAGGAAAGCTGCACATTCCGGCATAGCCCTTCACATAATCCATCTATCAGTCTGAATTCCCTACTGTACTTTGCACTAATCATCATCATCATCAGCGGCATCGAACTGCAAGTTCCCGGGCAACCAGTCGCCACTGCATGACTTGGACCGTGTCTCACAACTCTTCAACTTCTCCATCTCATCTGTACTTAAATCCCACCCATTCAACTGGAAGTTGTCCTTGATCCGGGCTGGGCTCACGGATCCGGGTATCACACTGGTACCGCGCTTAATGCCCCACCTGATCCTAGGAAAGTTCAGTCACTCATAACGGCTTGGGGGTATGATGAAGAACAAGCTCATACAGAACCTGCTGCGGCGATTTATTCTTTGCCCGCGAGATCTCAAGCAGTGCGGGCTCGGACAACAGCGGAGAGTCCGCAGACCCCAAGCACGAGTACGCAGTGCAGTGAATACGATGGTGGGTGCAGTATCTAAGAAGTCTTCTAGATGGCCAGTAAGGGTGGAGCTGGATAGCGAGCGTATTAGAAAAGACTGAGGAAGGTGGAGTTACTGAGACCTTTAGGATTACATACCTCGACTTGATTCACTGCAGGGATTACCTTACAGGATTGATGGGTTAAAAGACGTTGGAGGTTCGCGATGGAGAAGTTTGAGACGCCGATGTTCCGCGATTTCTTCGTGGAGATCTTTTGCATTCCTTGCCTGAGGCTATCAGTTAGATGCCTACAGGAATACACGTTACAGTGCGCCATACCAAGTATTGACAAAGTCCCAATCTGATAGCAGGGAAGCCGGATCGTCGGGGTTGATCGAAACAGGCCAGTGCTTAGAAGTCAGCAATTCACTCCACGCGAACACTAAAGAGAATCTTACCATGAGGTAGAGATCAACGTACTCCATATTCAAAGCGCATAGAGAAGATTCGATGGCCTCCTCAACGCGGGTATGCCATGTATTGTCCAGTTTCGTGGTGACCCAAATTTGCTCACGCGGAACACCAGAGACCTTGATCGCTCGACCAATCTCACGTTCATTCCTGGAAGACTGCGCTGTATCGATATGGCGATACCCAGCGTCCAATCCTACACGGACAGCATCGTACACCTCTCCCGCCCGCCTGGCTCCGCGAGTGCCCAGGCCAACGGCGGGAATCAGGGCTCCTGTATTCAAGGGAAAGAAATTGTTCCCGGTCTTGGTGTGAGATGTAGTGGAGAAATTGGCGACACACTGGCGGTTTATAGACGTCCTGGCGGAGGGCTGAATGCTTATAGGTCTGGTTGAAGAAAGCAGGAGAGGGTGCTGGACCTGCCGAGTTTCTAGGGACCTTTTTATAGCGTCGACGATGGAAACTGTATGCACCACGTTGGCTAAAGAGGTTGAAAATTCCGGTTGTCGGCCACTAACCCAGTCGCCAAATTCCTGTACCATTGAGCGGATCACTTGTTTGTCTGCAGTATGGTGCTTGACGTTCAATGTTTTGCGGCCTTGCGTGTCGTTATGTGTGATTTTATGTCCGTCGAGTCTAAGCGTCCCGTCGGTCCCAGTAATCGAGATAAATTGAGCGGCTCGATGAGCGACTCGTGATAGGCGTACGTGACCTATACAGTTGCTGCCCCAGTCCATTAAGATACTAGAGACATCATCCCCGCCGTATCTTTGCGAGGGGCGCACGGAGGAGACCTGGTGCGCCATCACCGAGGTCGGTAGGCCGAATAGCCATACGAGGATGTCGAGCATGTGGCATCCAAGGTCCTCCTGTCATCGGTCACTCATCGTCAGCTTCATGCAGTGCTAGCGCAGGGGTTATTTCCGGTTAGACTTACTGTAACCCCGACCCCAGAGCTCGCCCGCCATGTCTCTTCCAAGTTCGTAATATTGAGCGCAAGGCTCGCTTCAACCGCGGCGACGCGCCCAACCAGCGGGAGCAAACTCCGGAAGTGCAAAAAATGCGGCTCGAAGCGCTTCTGAAAGGTGATTCCAATCCGCACGGGCAGATTTGCCATCCAGTTATATTCGTCCATGGACTCCGCAACGGGCTTCTCCTTAAGCACGGCGACCCCCTTCGCCGCTAGGGCGGTGATACACTCCATGTGCGCGCCATGGGGCACAGACACGATGGCGAAGACTGGAGTATGGCGCTGCAGGAGCTGGGAGAGAGAGGTATATGTGGGGATGCCGCGGTGGCTGAGGGAGAAAGACTCGAGGGCTGCGAGGTTCGTGTCACATACGGCTGATACTGAGATCGATGAGTCATTGGAGAGACTAAGGAAATGGCTCCTATAGCCCCGGTATCCAAGGCCAACTAGAGCGATGCTGTACCCTCGTGAGAATATCCGAATACCTTGAGAGGGAGGAGATCGAATCGGTAGGTATTCTGAGAAAGGCTTTGTTCTAAATGCCTGAACCAAGGGCCAGCTGCCCCGAGAAAGTGCTCGGCTTGCGATCATGATGCGTTCCGATTGGATGATAATCGTATACGTATTGGCAAGGCAGAAAGCTGGTGAGACTTACACTGCCGTCCATGACCTCCAGGTCGGTCGTTTTCTCTGATGACACGGCGTATGGAGGTTGCGGCGCACTTCAAGGCAGACTCATCGTGCACTGCACTGATAGTCCGTGTGGCGGGCCGACTTTTGAGAGGCGGAGCAGCAGAGCCTCACAGCCCCTCCAGGCCACACCTCCGCACCTGGCGAAAGCAAACATGAATCAGGCGCCGTTGCCTTCCGACTCGAAACGACTCCCCGATGCGAGACAGGGAAGCCTTGTCTTGGCCGGCCAACAATGCGCGGCCTTGAACGATGTACTGTCTGGCTATGCATTAGAATTGGTTTATGATTGGTCACGCCTCGATGACTCGGGTGTGTTGGTAGACTTGGGTGCTTTTCATGGCATCTGTCATTGGCCACGAGAAGAGGCCCTACTGCATAAGGGTCACACCACTATGCGGGCTTCCCATTCTGGTTGTAGCCACGTATCTGGGCTGGGCTACGGCGGGCAGGGGCTAACCCTCCAAGCTCAAGACCGATATTCTCGTTTATTATAATGTCAGGTTAATGCAATCGCTTGGAGCCGGACGGATGCTAAGAGCTTTTCGGACGCGATTTTAGTCCCTGAATGGGGATTCGGCTCGCCAATTTATGAGCGATTAATTCAGCACAAAGCCCTATCTGTCGTTTAGCATCAGCTTTTTCCAGTCAGGCTAGCCTGACATTGCTGGGCTTGATGATTTTAGAGCTTCGAAGTACAGCCTTGCGTGACAATATGCAGCTAGCTCGAGCCTGCCCGACGTCAGCACTGCCCTTCTTTTCTCTTCACCCCGCTCTTCCGGTGTACAGTCCATCATCGCTTCTAACGTACTGGAATTTCATGTTCTATCCATGGAAAGCGCTTTCAGCATGGGCCCCGTTCAAAATCGATGCCCTCGGACTCCTTACACTGCTTGGAGCGAACGAAGTCGACATTTCGCTCGGTCGCCTGGCCCCCAGCTACTGGCTCGAGTACATGCCCCTGCTCGCCGGCTTCGTCTTTGCAGGCGATCGATTCCGCGCCAAACAGCCAACCTTCACCCTGTATAATGTCTCCAGTGGCATCGTAACAAGTAACCTGTCGGCGTGGTTCACCAGATGGATGCAAGCGCAGGGGTTCCACGTCTCGCGGAGCCTGGTCTACTGGGAGGTCAAGAGGACGCCACAGAGCCAGTGGTCATACTTTGTCGTTTCAGGTCTGATCTCGGGGACACTAACTGGCTTCCTCTTCGCTATGACGATTCTATCGGGTGACTGGTACGGCTTCGCCAACACGATCGCAATCATCCTCCTCGTCTTCGTGCGCGCATACATGATCCACGCGAACCGCAACGCGATTAACCGCACCGTGGCCGCAGCAAGACCCTTTCCAACAACGTTTACCAGCGCCCTCGACACCTGGAACGAGAAACGCAAAAAGGATCCCAAGGCACCGCGCCCGTCCCCGGACTCTCCGCACTGGCGGCCCGAAGTCGTCAAGATCCTCGTCGTCATGCCTGATTCTGGCGCCGTAACCATGTTCATCCCCGAGCACCTCCTGCGCGGCGTTTTTGTCACCGAGTCGCCTGTCCGCTCGCCCGGATTCTATCGTCTAGCGCAGTGGACTGGTTGGCTCGCGTTTACAGTCCATGTCGTCACACTGGGCATGGCACAGCTCGCTACGCAACTATACGTCATCGTACTGACAGTCATCCCAACCGTCCTAATCTGCTACGGCTTCGGCTGCGACGACTCGCGCTTATACAAAGGGTGGTGCTGGCTCCGCGGAAAAGACGCAGGTCCATACATCTACCACGCCGGCCCGCAACTGAAAGCAACAATCTTTGAATGGCCCGAAGACGTTGAGTTCGTCAAGGACGACAAGGGCGCTCTATGCAGACGCGATCTAGCACCGATCCCTGCGGTGAACCGCTCCACCGCCCGCATGGATCTGTATGCGTGGTTGAACTTCAGCAAGGAGGAGCAGGACAGCATGTGGGACTGGCATTTGCTTCCGCATATGCGCGGCCACGACGATTCGTGGTGGAATACATTTGAGGAGAAGAAGAGGCTGATTAGGGAGCGGCCGCCGGATATCCTTGCGGCGAAGCAGCGGATACAGCGTGACTTGGAGGCGAAGAGGGCGGTTGGTGAGTTTCCGTTGCTGCGGGGGCGCAAGCCGATGGCAGACCTTGAGAAGGGTTCTAGGTTTGTTCTGTTAGCTAGGTAGTGGGCAGCCAGATCTGGTAGGGAGCTATCTCGTGTGGCCATAGTCGCCAGTTGGTGTCTTCCAACGGGCAAATCGTGACAGGCGACCACAACACCACAACGCCCGGATGGAAACCACTTTAGTATGATTAGAAAGCTTGCATCCACCAGATTCCAAAACTAGTTTTCTTTTTACATATTATTGAAAATTAGTGACAGGGAAGTGAAATACTCTCAGCCAATAGAAACTCGAGCGAAAAACCCAGACGAAGGTCACGTGTAGGAAACTCAAGACACAAACAACCAGCGCCACGACGCTTGTTGTACATTGAATATAGCATCATTAGAATCAAAACAGTAGTCTTCTTCCGCAATTCCTCTATCTCTTAATCGCCCTCGAAATTGGTGGCAGGATAGGGGCGGATAGTGGTTCAGCCAATAGAAACTCGGACGAAAACCCCAGATGAGTCACGTGCCATCGCATCTACTGGCCATCGCATCTACTGGCCAGGGTCTGTTGTGCTGGGCAACAAACAGGAGGCAGTCGTTGAGATAGGTAGTTGTAGTGTTCTTGTTGAAGTGGGAACCCCGTCTATTTAAATGTCCATCGCTAGTCCTGCCATAAGCTTTGACCACCGCGATACTCAACATGAACTACGAATGCGAATGCGAATATCTCAAAATGGTACGAATATGTATTCGTGCCGACCCTTAACCGATGTAACCGTGGCTTATAGAGGGCGGTTCTCAGCCAGACAACCGCGCTGTCCCAGTGAGGGTTGATTTCATTGGCTTATCATCTTACTGTGGGAGCGGGTCTCTGCAGTGGCTTTCATTGGGCGATAATAACAGCCCTGCGGACGCTAGATGAACTGAAAGCAGAGCTAGGGCCTAGCCGGTCACTATAAAGAGCCACGAGAATCCTCTTCTGTAAAAACCATATCGAAGAAAATCTGTGCTCTCTCTGCTATCCTATTGAACTGAACAACACCGCCGCCTTGGACAGAAATCTTTCTATCTCTGAATACTCTACATAATGCGGCTTGCATTTCATAATTAAGTTTTCCCTCCTTTAGACAAAGATTGTTAACAGAAATTAGTGACCAACATTGTTTGGGTTCTCCAACGGTAATATTAAACTCTCTCTAACTAAAAACTATGAACTTGACAATTTTGTAGGATATGCTGACAAAGACTAATATGCACTTTTATGTGAGGTGTCTGATTTGATGTCGTAAGATATTCTGGGTAAATACCCAGAAATCCACACGCAGATCCACCATATTTCTGACACACCCCCCAGTTTTCGAGGCCCCTTTTCTAGGCCTGGGAAACTGCTCAATTCTTCAATTTATGCATGGTTTTCAAACCAGAATCTGTTTTGAAGGGTGAATCAGGTGATTCACGTCTCTCATTCCGATCAGATCTCGAAAGATCTGCTGCTTCTGTTTGGGTAAGGCCTTGGTGAGGCCATCGGCTGGCATCTCGGCGGTTGGAATCCATGCGACAAGAACTCGGCCTTCACTGACCTCTTGCTTCATCCAGCACCGATTGATATCAACATGACGAAGCTTCGTATGCATTGCGGCACCTTCCTTCGTCAATAGGTCAACAGTTTGTTGGCTGTCGCACAAGATAGTGAGAGGATGGGACGGTTCAAATCCTAATGCGCGGAGGACTCGACGCCACCATTGGACTGTTTTTCCGGCCTCAGCAAGTGCGAGTAGCTCTGCTTCGGTTGTCGATGTTGTAACGGTCTTCTGTTTCGATGCCTTCCAATCTATGGGCCCACCATATAACTTGCAGACATATCCTTCGGAGCTGCGCCGGTCGGGGTTATCGCCGAAAGAAGCATCGCTGGCAAATTCAACCGATTTTGCTGCTAATTCGATACCTGGTTCGAGGCCTCTCACTCCATATTCAATGGCCCAAAACCTGGTTTTGTATAGGTATTGGATGATCCGATCAATAGCGTCGATGTGCTTAGGACCTGGATTCATAAGAAATTCAGCGGCTTTGGCGGTGGCTTTGGCGGCGTCTGGGCGTGAGACGGTTGTAGCATACTGAGCAGATCCAACTTTGGCTTGGTACCCATGGATCTGACTCGGTGTTGCTACTCCATCATATGGGAGCAAAGGCTCAGTGCTCATAGGGGTTTCGACCCTACGGTTGGTTTTGAGGTTATACCGACTTGTCATGCTCTCAATATAGCTATCTTGGCATAGCCATAGCTTCTTCTGAGATCTGTCTCTCAATATGCGGATGTTTAGGAACCAACTGGCATCAAGTTCTCGCAATTCCCATTGCTTCTTCATTTCTTGGTCCAGGGTAGCTGCTTGCTTAGAATAGGAAGGATGATTGACCATGATAATGTCGTCAACATAGAAGAAAACGATTATTCCTTGGGTGGTGAAAATGCATGGATCCTCAGGCACGGGGGTCAGTCCCAATTTGACCAGCACTCTGGTTGCTTCCTGCTGCCACAAACGCGGTGACATACGTAAGCCATAAAGCGCTCGGAGTAACAGCCAGCAGTGGCCTGAGCGTTCGAAACCAGGCGGGCACTTGGTGTATACCTCACCTTGAATGGCTGAGTTGAGGAACGCTGTCACTACATCTCGTTGTATCATGTCGAGGTCAAATGCTGCGACCAGTGCAAATACAGCGCGGGCTGTTTTCACTGCGAGAGTTGCGGCTCTCTTTTCTTCAGTAGTGATCCACTGTAGATCTCCACGCACACAGATCCTCGCTTTGAACTTCTCCAGGACTCCGTCGGCATCATATTTATATGTGAACACCCACTTGAGTGGAAGGACCTGTGTCCCTTTGGTGTTCGGGTGCGACACCTCGCGGAATGTGCCTTTGTTTCGTAGAGTCTCGATCTCAAAGGCTGCGGCCTCGGTGAATTCTTTGGCAAATTTATGGTTCTTCATCTCAGCCCAGTTCTGGGGCTCTATTGGCATCTGATTTCGATGGTGTTTCTTGGTATGGGATGCTTGTTCATGCATACTGATGGTGAACGCATGAAGCAATTCAGGCGGGTTGTCGGCAGGATCTTCATCGTGAAGAGATAGGTATGCTGAGAAATCTCGGTTGGTTCTTGGCCTGCGAGATCTGCTGCCGCTGGTAATGATGTTGGATTGATCAATGTTTCTTGAGATGTCTCTAGGTGCACGGGCGGGTGCTATCTCATATCCTGGTCTAGGCGCAGTTTGTATGGCAGTTGGATGCGTAGGTTGCGGTGACTGTGCTAATTCTTGCTGAAGTTGCATCTCGCTTTCTGATACTGTCTCCTCCCCTTCAGTTTCGATCGATGGTATGACCGAGATCGGATCTGGTGACGATGACAGGGTATTCGGGAGTCGAGATCTCGATGGTGTTGATCTCTGGATTAATGGATCTTGCGATAGTGAGGTCATTGTTGATGAAGAGATCCTCGGAGGCCTTGGTTCGGTGGGAAAGCTTCCTGGTATGTTGGTATTCGACCATGAGATCTGGTTTGGTCTGATTGATTCAGGCGTCACGGGTAAAATAGAGGCTGTTTTGGGAGATAGTGGTAACGTGGGTTTTCCGGCTTCCTCTCCTTGTTTGGTATGCTCTGCTTCTTCTCCCGCCGAGTTCCTTGCTAATACCATTGGCATTCTTAGCTCTATACTGATCTCTGTTTCGGCTTCTTGCAATGTGAGCACCTCAGGCCAGTTATCGAGGCCATCTGTCAATGTGCTGACTGCTTCTTCATGCTCAGGTACCGGTGTACTCGGAGAGTATCGGCGGGTCTCATCAAAAATAGCATCTCTGACTATGTCAACCCGGCCTTTGCCAGCACGGCCTTTGTGCGGGAACCAGATCTTGTATAGGTTCTTAGAAACATATCCAACAAGAAATCCGATCTCTGCTCTCGGTGCCATCTTGTCAGATTGAACCCTTTTGATGATCCTAGAGTACGCTAAACAGCCATACAATCTCAGGTTTGACAGGTTGACGATCTGATCGCGCACGCCGTCGGGTGCGGTATGCCTCATGAGTTCTTTCCATGGTACAATCCACCGATTTTCGATCTTGGTGGGCACCCGATTCAGCATGTATGCTGCGGCATAGATCGCTTCTGGCCATAGGGTTCGGGGGAGATCTGTGTCGTTCATCAAGGCTCTGGCGGTTCTCACCATGACCCCCCAGATCTCTCCGCGGGACCATTCATCTCGGGTAGGCCAGGTGGTGCATGCTCAATTATACAACCTTCATTTTCGATCATCATCTCGACCTCATCTCCCGCACTTCGCTCATTATCATAGTGAAACACCTTGATATTGATGTTTAACCAATTCTTTGCGATGGCAATAAACTTCCTAACAGCCATCTGACATTCGTTCTTCTTGGTATGGGTGAACACGAAGTGGCATTTGATTCCATCCAGGTAAAAGTGGGTTAACCAGATATGACCATTGTGCGCAGGCTGATTTTGAACAAGGTCAAAGTGCACTCTGCCGAATACACCATATGCCTGACCGATCTTCCGCCGAGAGATCTGCTTCGGTGCGTCTGCTAACTGACAAGCTTCACATACCTGTTTGACAGGGTTGCTCTCAGTAATGGTGACTCCCTCGGTCATCTCCGACAGTTTGGTAATGCGGTCTGGTCCTATGTGACCTAGGCGCCGGTGCCAGGTCTCCATTGATGCAGCTGATTTAGGTTCTTGCGCCGATCGTTTAGTGGTAAAAACCATTTCTCCGGGCGGTGCTTGGGCCTCGATCAATGCCATGGTGGCGGCGTCGGGCTGCGTCAACCAAGAAAGCTTCTGTTCTTGGTATATCTTTAGCAGCGGCTTGCCATTATCAGTTTCAATCCAGTTGTTTCGGAAGCACATAAAGGCCCCCCTTTAATGATCAAGCCATGAGAGATCAGATTGGTATGGAAATTAGGTGAGTACCTGGTTTCATACAACTCTAGTCGTTTTGGTTGGCCAGTAGTTGGATTGGTCCCATAGATAACGACGGTGCCAACACCATCGATTCTTGTGCGTGTATCGCCGACCTTGATGTTGCCATGACTTTCTCGGAAACTAACGAATTTGCTCCGATCGTTGCATACATGTGTATCCGCCCCAGTGTCAACAACCCATTGCTTCTCCATAGGTATGGTCGCTTGCTTGGTTTGGGTTGACATGGCGGCTTGCTCGGCTTTCTGTGCGACTTCTTGGGAAGGTACCTTTGAGAAGAAGCCACATGCTTGGTCGTCAATTATGGTAGAGTGCGCCTGTTTCTGCGTCATGCCCATTTCTGACCTTTTCTTCTCAATAAAGTCTTTCCATGTAGGATCAGCCTTCATAGCTCTATCCCACTTCTGTTTCTGGTCTGGGATGATCTTGTAACCCTCGGGTCTGCCTGATTCATAGGCAGCCCAGCATTTCCAGGCAGGGTGGCGGGCCTTCGATCCGCATGGGCATGGCCTTTGCCAAAATGGCTTTTCGGTGGCTGGTATAGCCGCCCCTTTCTTGATGTTTGGTGGTTGTGCTTCCTCATGGCCTTGCCAGGTCGAAAATACAGCTTTGGAGATACCTCTCTGGGTACTGGCTTTGCCGTGGCTGATTGCCCAATGGGCTTTGTACCTAGTGAGCAGCTCGGGGAAGACAACATTCTTGTCTTCCAATCTGAGCGTCCAGGTTTCATGAAAGCCAGGCGACATAGTTGAGATGGCATCTAGGAATTGCACGGTGGCGTCATTGGCTTCGCTCATGCCAGCCCTCGCGCACCGAACCTGGATCGTTTCCCAATTCAATAACCATTTCTCAATGTCGGTGTTCCTGTCTAGACCTCGGTCTAAATTTCTCCATTGCTGACGCAGTTTGGCTGCATAGGTAGGATCGCACTCAGGTGCAAATCTCTGTCGCAGGTTGCGAAGCAGTTTCCATGGGGTATCATGGGTGATAAAGGTCTGATAACTAGGGTGTAGGCTGTTTTTAATAACCGTTGCCACACAGTTGAGGCCTAGGATCCTTTTTCCATGCTTGCTAACTTGGGTTGACCATTCCACTTGTTGTAGTTTGACGATCTTGTACCAGTTGACCGGATCGTCGTTCTTAGCAGCCTCAATTGATGAAGGCTCTGGTTCATCTGGAACAACAGGTTGTTCTTTCTTGTCCGGGTCACACAGCTCCCACACGTTATATTGGTCGGCAATCCCTCTGATGGTGGACAGCCAGGCTTCCCAGTTTGTTGAGTCTCTCAGAATAACGCGAGAGGACGATATCGCGGAGAGAGTGGTGTCTCCCATATTGTGGTTGAACAGATTTCCGATTGATGATTTCAGGGGTTCAGGGGTTCGTCGGCAGGCAGGGATCACAAGGATCAATTGGCTTGCAACGTCGAAACAAAGGTTGGTTTTAACAAATGGGTTAAATTAGAAGCGATTCCGGGCTCATAACTAACAGAAATCAGTGACCAACATTGTATGGGTTTCCTAACGGTAATATTAAACTCTCTCTAACTAAAAACTATGAACTTGACAATTTTGTAGGATATGCTGACAAAGACTAATATGCACTTTTATGTGAGGTGTCTGATTTGATGTCGTAAGATATTCTGGGTAAATACCCAGAAATCCACACGCAGATCCACCATATTTCTGACATCAGGAATAGGATTTCATCCCATTCTACCCTTCAACCTGCCTCCCCCGTAAGACATCACTCCCCACAACTTTCCTCTTTGCCCAGCATAGTACCTACTAGTATCTTCGTCTTCCCCACTTATTCTTCAACGGTCTCCCTGCAGTCTGGAAGGCCTGGACTATATACCCAATCCCTCCCTCTTCTGTCCTCTGCACAAAGAGCACGCCCATCGAGACATAGAATACGACGACAATACCAACAAGAGCCCCCTGGAGCCCCAGGATACCTTTATCACGGGATATATACAAGGAATCACCAAGGTCTCGTTGCTGCCCAGATGAAGAGCTGTTAAGCAACGCATTCATGCCCTGCAGAGAACCGAGCATGGTCACCAGTGCGAGGGCAAGCGCGAAGGCACTCAAAGTGAGTGCTATCACCATCATTGCCTTGTATGACTTCTTCCTGGATGTGCCTGTGCGAGCAACGAGAAGCATAATTCCCGAGATGAAAAACAGGAGGATATGGATAAGGGGAGGTTCAAAGAAGAAGACATCCTCTTGGAGGTGTTTGGCTTGTGGGAGGGTGGTGTTTAGGAAAGACTGAACGTCGGCTTGGACACTAGTCGAGTCGAGGTGTAGAGACTCCCAAAGGTCTTCGCTTAGTTCCTCCAGATCCTTCTGGCGCATGTTCGGGACGCAGTTGGTGGAAGTTTGTGTGGAATTGCTATCGGGAGAGTATGCATCAGCTCCTTCGGTGACCGATACACATCCTCCTGCATGCAGTTAGTTGGGACCGATCTTTATTAACGAAGGAAGATTGGCCTTTTTCTACTCACCAAAGTAGCCTACACGAAGTGAGATAGCGGATGTAGAGTTTGTTGAGAGTTCGGCGAGGTAGATGTCGTTTACATTCGCCGTTGTCGAGACGCAGCTAGTCACGATATAAACTGGATGCCGTTAGAAGCCCGTTGTATCACGCATTGTGTCCAAACTTACGACCCAAAACGATAGCCACCAGATAGGAAATAACGGCTAGGAACACGAGTAGACAAGACGAGTATTTTCCTCTTCGATTACCTCCTGCTAGAACTCTGTTAGTGTCATTCTCGATGTTACAGCACAAGGAGAAGTCAATTTTCTTACTTGGTTTCTCAAGAACGACCGTTTGTGTTTGTGGAACTGGCGCATATGCCGGTGCATACTGGGTTTGCACGGGGTAAGGATGAGAAGGAGCGGCAAGGTGAACTGCACTAGTAGACGAAGTGGTCTTTTTCTTACCAGTGGTCTTCTTTACCCCAGTCTTCTTCACTCCAGTCTTGGCCTTCTTCCGTGGAAGTGTGGATGAGCTGGAGTGCTCCATGGTTCACGGTAGGTAATAGAATGGAATAGCTTCACAGACTATGACCAAAGACACACTCACGACTGATAAGTCTTCCAGGGCTGTCGTATTCCTTTATGTACTCCTGTTGAACTAGAGAAATGAGCCTATTGGTTGGGCAGTAAGGGAGAACGTAGTGCCTACATTATCTGCATCTCAACCTTAGAACCCAATCACGTATCCTTGCATGTCTCCCATCCCTATCACATGGAATATATCCAATTTAAGGAATCCACGTATCTCCATTAAAATGGCGGAGAATGCGGCTGGCCCCGAAAGTCTATGCCGGACTACGCCTCGTGTTCATGCTTGGCAAACGGCTGGCATAACCTTCCACAGGTGGTTTGCCGTTCCCAGATTGGTGTATCCAATGAGAACAAAGTGCGCTAGTCCTAATAGAAGAACGCACGCAGTTAGTATCCTACCTTGTTTGCTCTGTTGGCCCTTGACATGGCATATCTAACGCCTGTAGCTCGTACCTCTGAAAAAAGCAATATCGGAAACTAAGATTTCAACTGGCCACAAAAGAGGGGCGGGCTGTGTTCAGCCTCGAAACTGCAACTTAAACATGTTGGCTGGACTAGCCTCTGCAAGCCCATATTTTTTGGTTGTGTTAGTCTTGACAAAAACAAGACTACTAGTACTATGCAGCGCACAGGAATGGACCTATATTTAGCATGACGTTGTCATATGTAGTCTGGGCGTGTGGTTAACGATACAATAAGCCCGACTCAAGATCCTTAGTTTATTTGACATCCACTGATTTGCTCCTGCTATGTCTCAATACACTGTATATTATGATTACTGTCCAAGACGGGGTAAATATAGCCGAAACCATTAATCGGGGTTTCAACACCCCTGCAGAGTCGACTCGAGAATTCTAGGCATCTCCTCGGGATACCGGAAGGTTCAAGTTCACTGGGCATCCGTGAACTAGTGGCTGATGCATGCGCCCAGTTGCTTTTAAGACCTACAAGGGTCCTGGGAGATTTTTGCGCACGTCCACTACCATGGTATCTTAGGTAGCATGGCGTGATTAGTGCTATTTGATGGTTATCGCCGAACTAAGCCATAATATAGCCCGAAAGCCCGGAGGTTGGCCCCTTTATAGAACAGTGGGGGCTTAGCGGTGATAGCGCTTAACCTTGGAACCATCCATGCGGCTCAACGGCAATCCTTCCTCCCCCACTCTTCCCGCTCCGCCTTCGTACTGCTCCCAAGATTATTCCTCGCCCCGAAGGTATAACTCGTCTTAACGCCGCGTCCGTTTGTCATTATATATTCCCCCATGCCTTTGTACAACAGACTTGGATACACAACCCTTCCCTGTCAGACATTTTATTGAAGTTTATAGGTGTTAGAACCTCGCCATGTCTACACATACACCCATTCCTATTAGGGAACAAGGCCTAACAGCAAAGCTTGTGCGCCAAACAAAGATTCCAAAGTCCGATAAGCACGACGAGACGAAGGCCATTGACATTGTAGCTGTTCACGGCCTGGCCCCCTGGGACTCCTATTCTGGCTCTTCCTTCTGGCTACGCGATTTCATTCCAAAGGACATTCGCGGGGCCAGGGTGTTTACATTTTATTACGACGCCAACGCAGTCTGGCTATGCGAAACACCACTGGAGAGTGTACAGCACGTGTCTAGGGCCCTGCTTACTCAAATTGCTGCTATTCGGGGGGATGTTCCAGCGACACGGCCACTAGTATTGATCTGCCATGGCTTCGGTGGTTTTATCGTTGAATCGGTGGGTCTTTGTTTCAGTCGACGCACTCCGTCCGTTATGGTATTATGTGGCTAACACATTTTGGAATGAAGTGCCTTAACGATGCCTTTACACACTTTCCGAATATAATCGATTGCACTCGAGGAGTCATCTTCCTTAGTACGCCGCAACGTACGTCGCAAGAGGTCCCGTGGGCGACGCTTTTGATGCGTTGCGCGAGCGACGATATACCTCCAGGGTTGGCTCAGGTTGGACTGTCATATGTGGGAGATCAAGGGTGGGCAGAGAGCAGTGTAGTTGCTCTTCACGATATCTCCCAGGGCTTCAAGGGAAAGGCAAAGGCAGCTAAGAAAATGAAATTGCTTTTCTGCTACGAAGATGTTCCGACGCCACCACAGCAAGAATGTGTAAGTTTTAGTCCATAGGCTCTAGCGCAAGAAGATTGACATACTGATCTGCCTATAGAGTTTGAACGCGCATTGCGCAGCTCTTGGTCTTCGCAGCGAGAAGGTCGAGTTGATGGCGGGTTGCACTCATCTCTCCATGGCAAATTTCCTGAGCAGGGAGGATGAGAACTACAAAACAATTATCACTGCCATCAAGAAGATCCGAAAGTTGACATTGAAAGATACGGAACACACTTCTATCTTGGAACTTTTTGAACCTGGGCTGCACAAAAGCGTTCAGGAAATCCAGAGCACCCAGCACATTAAGGCATCTCAGGCCATGATTGTCCATACCCTCCCGAATACTTTGGTCGCGAGTCAACAGAGTGTCAACTTCCAGAACACAGTTACCGTGACCCGCAATACACCCAAAGTCACGCCATTCTCGCCGATGCCAATGCATGCATCTGGTGCTCGTGCATTAAGCCAGGGCACATTGCCCACGCTTCAGCAGCCAGCGCCGGCCTATGGCAGCATTCAGGATGCGTCAAGGACCTCTCTCTCGACCTATCCCGCTACTCCACAGTTCTCGCAATTTGATCCAAACATGATGAAGATTCGCAGGCGTCCTGTTGGCTTGCCCCCTAGTAGGCCAATAATTACACCACATTCTGCGCCTGGCCGATTGGAACAGGAAATACAGTACCCTCAACACCCACCCACCAACATTGCGCCAATCACTGCGCCAGAACAAAAGCCCTCCGTCAAGTCAGGCAAGCCAGACAAGTCAGGAAAGATGCCCAAAAGGTCACACGAGGCCGGCCCTCTGGGTCCTGCAAACCCACTATCAAACCCCGGAAATGCGGCACCCAAGGCCCCAGTCGTCCCTCAACTTACCGGTAATAAGGGCATGCTCCCCGCCTCTCTCCATATTCAGTGGCCAGACCAGGGAATGCATCATCCAACTCTCCAGGGCATACCAATCGGTTCATCCCAACATATCGCCCCGCAGCCTAGTTCAACGCCTTGCCAATACCCCCCAGTCTCGCATCCACTTCCTACCAATCATCCTATGGCCCATACAACCGCAGCAATGCCAATCCAAGGGAAACCCCTAAAGAAAGTGGCAAAGCCGCCGAAGATACTCTCAGACCCGCCAAGCCTCAACTCTCCAAAGCTACTAGGGACGAAGTCGGTGCCGCAACAAACCCGTCCCCAGATGGCTAACCCAGGGACTAGACCACCTCCAATCCCAACTACCACAGGTGGAAGAAGCATCCCCCAGAACCATCCAACGCATTTCCCTCCCAATCCACACCAAGGCTTACGGGAACTGCAGCTCCAGCCCAGCTATACTCCACCCCCCAAGAACACCGGGTTCTTCAGGAGACTGTTCTCGTCTGGCAAGGTTTCGCAACCTGGCCCTACCCCAACAGGCTACAGAGCGCCCTCGGGATCACAAGTCGGTCTACACCAGCCGCACAACCCGTCCAACCTTCCTTCCAGGCCCGCCAGCTTTGGAGGCCATGCAGTGCACCCGGGACCACAAGGTGGTCCATACCAGCCGGCTAATCCGACTAAGTCAGCTAAGCCGATTAAGCCAACTAAGTCGACCAAGGAGACCAAGCGACTAAGGAGACCAAACCGGCTAAGTCATCCAAGTCTCTATCCAGCCCTCCACCTAGGCCGGATAACTTGGGAGGCCATGCATTCCACCCAGGACCCCAAGGTAGTTCATACCCGCCGCCTAAGCCGACTAAGGCGACCAAGTCTCTATTCAGTCCTCCGCCTAAGGCGATCAGCTTAGGAGGCCCCAAAATACGCCCAGGACCCCAAGGTGTTCCCCACCGGCCGCCTAACCCGTCCAACCCTCCACCTAGGCCGGGCAGTTTGGGAGGCACTAGGGGACTTCCGGGATCACAAGGTGGTCCATACCAGGCGTACAAGCCGCCGCCAAATGCGCACTTGCCAACGCAAAGCCCGCCGAGACCAGGACAAGGCCCACATATGCATGGTTACAATCCTCATGGCCATCCCGAGCGCGGGCAGCATCCATACTGGCAGCAGGGTAACCAATCGGGTCCAGGTCATGGTTCTTATTCTGGACCAGGTCAACCTTCTAGCAATATTACTGGTAATGGTATGATGATGCCGATGGTTCCAGTCGAGCCTACAGATCCAGGTGAGCCGGCAGGTCCAAGTGAGCCAACGGGTCCCGTCAAGCCTGTAGGAACAGATGGGCCAGCAGGTCCAGGTGGGCCAGCAGGTTCAGGTGGGCCAACGGGCCCCGTCAAGCCTGTAGGTTCAACTGAGCCAGCAGGTCCTGGTGCGGCTAGCCTACTTGCGGCTACAGGTCTGGCTGCGGCTACAGTTCTAGCCAAACCAACCGACCCCGTCAACTCTGGAGATCTAGTTGAGCCTGTAGGTTCAGCTAAGGCTTCAGGCCCATGTGAGCCAACAGGTCCGCCTGCAGGTCTAGTTGATGCTATAGGTCTACCCAAGCCGACAGACCAAGTCAAGCCTGCAGATCCAGCTAAGCCAAGCGGCCTAGTTGAGCCTTCAGGTCCAGCTGAGCCAGCAGTTCCACCTGCAGGTCCGCCTATAGGTCCAGTTGAACCTATAGATCCAGATAGGTTAAGAGGGCTAGTTGACCCTCCAGCTCCAGCTGAGCCAACGGGTTCAGGTGGCCTACGAGGACCGCTTTTAGGTCCACCTGCAGGCCCAATTGAGCCAACACGTCCCGCCGACCCAACAGGTTTAGGTGGCCCACGAGGACCGCCTTCAAATCCGGCTAGTCTAGTCGCTGCTACAGGTCTAGTTGCGGCTGCAGGCCTAGTTGCGACTACAAGTCTATCCAAACCAACGGATCCAGTCAAGCCTGCAGATCCAGATAGACCTACGGATCCAGAGAAGCCAAGAGGTCTAGTTGAGCCCACACATCCAGCTGAGCCAACAGGTTCAGGTGACCCAACAGTTCTGCCTGCAGGCCCGCCTATAGGTCCAGTTGAGCCAACACATCCAGCGGAGCCAACAGGTTTAGGTGACCCACGAGGTCCGCCTGCAGGTATTCCTGCAGGTCCATTTGAGCCTACAAGTGCAGCTAAGCCAAGCGGCCTAATTGAGCCTACAGCTCTGGTTGAGCCTTCATATCCACCCAGGCCGATAAGTCCATTCGAACATACAAGTCTAGTTGAGCCTACAGGACGCGGTTTTACACATGGTGAAAATCACGGGCATACCTGGCCCGGCTACGGTCAAGATCCGGGTCATCAGTCCCAAAACCAAAGCAGTCGAAGTGGAACCATAGCCGCTGGTGTTGCAGGTTTAGCTGTAGGAGCGGGCGGTGCAACTCTTCTGATGTCTTCTATGAACCAAAGTGACGGTGATGATCAACACAACGTTAAAGTGGTTGGAGATGACAGTAGAGACGACGATAGTGATGAAGATCATGCCGATTATGACAGTGGATGGGGAGATGATAGTGATGAAGAGGGGGAGAGCACCAAAACAATGATGACAGTGATGAAAGCGAGGACGAAGACCAAGTCACTGATGATAGCGCTGAAGAAGGGGGAGAACATGGCAGTAATCAGGAGGAGGAAGTTGGAGACGAAGAAGGCACTGATCAAGAGGGATGGGGAGGCGAAGAAAGCACTGACCAAGAGGAGGAAGATGAAGACGGCAGCGATCAAGACGAGGAAGACGGAAGCAAAGAAGAAAATGGACAAGAAGAGGAAGAAGAAAGTGAAGAACAGGAAGGAAGCGAAGAAGATGAAGAAGAAAGCGAAGAAGATGGACAGGAAGAAGAGGAGGAAAGCGAAGAGGAGGAAGAAGAAAGCGAAGAAGATGGACAAGAAGAGGAAGAAGAAAGCGAAGAACAGGAAGGAAGCGAAGAAGAAAATGGACAAGAAGAGGAAGAAGAAAGCGAAGAACAGGAAGGAAGCGAAGAGGAGGAAGAGGAAAGCGAAGAAGAGGAAGAGGAAAGCGAAGAAGATGGACAGGAAGAAGAGGAAGAAAGCGAAGAAGAAAATGGACAAGAAGAGGAAGAAGAAAGCGAAGAACAGGAAGGAAGCGAAGAGGAGGAAGAGGGAAGCGAAGAAGAGGAAGAGGAAAGCGAAGAAGACGATGAGCAAGATGACTATGCTCACAGCTATGGTGGGGATGAATCTGGCGGAGAGGAATATGAAGATTATGATGGGGACGATGGTGAATATGAGTATGATTAAGGGCTACTTATTTACTTACATACTCTGATATATGGCAGAGTCATATATTGATTTCAAAATTCTCAAACTATTCATTAAGAAGTACAGTCAACTGCCAGTTATGGTACATCGGGTTATGGTACACTCGCGGTTATGGTACCGCTTTCGCTTGGATGGACCCACTTTTATGACTTTGACTAACAAAGTTCCCGGTTATTGTAATTTCTGACAGGATGAGGAATTAATGTACTGGCTAGTACTGCACATGTCCAATAGAATCTGATGATTGATTGAAGATATGTAGATCGGTTGAGCGATCTCTGGAGCCTACTGTCCGTGCTCTAGCGTGTTATGACACCGTATCCGAATTTAGTCCGAATACCATACGAATACTAGGGGATATTGGGTGAACGATGAACAAGCCTATCTGTCAGGATGAGGAATTAATGTACTGGCTAGTACTGCACATGTCCAATAGAATCTGATGATTGATTGAAGGTGTGTAGATCGGTTCAGCGATCTCTGGAGTCTACTGTCCGTGCTCTGGCGTGTTATGACACCGTATCCGAATTTAGTCCGAATACCATACAAATACTAGGGGAAATTGGGTGAACGATGAACAAGCCTATCCCAAAAGGCCATAGCGGTATTTGACCGCTCCTTTAGTTTGTCAATTTCTCTTATTGTAAATTCATTTCCTCCCATCTTTGCTTAGTCATCCTTATCGACCAATCTACATGCCTTGTTCCACAACTCTTCCGGACCCCCTGGCCAAGCGTACGAGACAAGGCATATCAGATGCAAAAACCCCTCGCACTCTCCGGGGAGTAAATACCCGAGCTCTGGGATGTGTTTGGCGCCAAAACGACGCGGCGTGGATGCGCTCCGACATCATGATTGACCGGTTACGCGGCTTTTATGGCTATCAGTCTGGATAGACGGGTATTGCTGTTATTAGACAATGCTTCGCCGCATATCGTCGGTGTCAGAAAGGCGCCACCACCACCTCACATCAGGGTCGTTTTCTTCCCTGCAAACGCAACTTCAATTTATCAGCCCTTAGATCAAGGTGTCAAGAAAAGCGGTCCTTACAGTACTAGCTTACTCGAGTTTTAGCAGCACCCATTTTTGCTTACTCATTTGCTACAGTATAAATGGCTACTTCGCCAAGCCATTCACCGCTTCATGAGCATTGGTTAAATAGCGCAGCATCAGCTTGTCCTAGAATTTACACTCATTCTATGATATCAAGGCCGACCAATGGTCTGTTGTAGAACTAGCGCGTACCGTATCTCTTGGAATCGACAGTTATGAGCCCGGTTAGCAAGCGTATCATTGAATAAATCAGTATTCGAGATCGCAAACCTCGAAGCCTTCCGAGCAAGCCTTCGAGCCCCTGAGCAAGTCGCTTCCAGCAAAGTCGCTTCCGAGCAAGCACGCTGAAGCCATCACAAACTCCCTCCGAATTCAAACAAGAGAACACGCCGAGATGTCACTCCCATACGACGAGCTCTACAGACATGAGCCCGCCGACGCTCAACGCTTCGGCCTAGTCCGAGCGAGCATTGTGCTACACTCCTCCGCCCAGTGGAGGACTTGGTACAGCCAAATCCAGACAGTTGCTAAGGGCAATGACGTCTGGGAATACCTCGATCCCGAGGACCAACACCCACCGGCCCTACCGACGAAGCCAGTGAGACCGAGCAAATTCGACTACGAAAGAGAGTCAGAAACAAGCGATAAGCTCACGAAGGAGGGTCGCCGGGAATACCAAGAAGACAGAAAGGAGTATGATACCGACCTAGCCGAGTACAACACTATCAAGCGAGCCATAGACCGAGTCACCGAGCGAATTCGAAACTCACTTGCGCCAGAGCTCCAGCAACTTACCGTTGACGTATTCGACGTACATACCCTCCTTATCGCACTTCGAGACCGTTTCTCACTTGCTGAAAGAGAAAGGAAGCAAGAGCTACGCACCCAGTGGAATGCTCTAGCTTCAACACCAGTCAAAGACTCTGGACTTGACGCAATGATCATGAGATGGGAAAACCTATACCAGGAATGCAAGGCTGCAGAGGTCTCATTCACGAAGGATGCTGATGATGCTATCTACGACTTCCTTACTGCTATCAAGCAAGTGGATCCTCAGTTCTCCTACACTTGGTATCAGAAGACTTTCAGGGAGGAAGGCAACGTAAGCTTCACGAGCATGCTAAATGCGTTCCGAACGGAGAGGACCGTTTTTCGGCCGAAAAAGGGTCTCAAGGCAACTCACGCTTCATTCGCTACGCTAAATGGCCAGGAAGAAGCCGGAAAGCCGCAACCTCAGCGCAAAGCTGGTAGCGGAAATGACCGAAAGAAACTGCCTAGCAATCCTACTTGCGTCTGCGAGGATAAGCATCTCTACCAAGCTTGCCCATATCTCGTCAAAGCTGTCCGACCATCAGGATGGAAGCCTGATCCTAGCATCAAGAAGAAGATCAGCCAAAACACGGAAAAGTTATCTTCAGCAGCTCAAAGAAAAGTCAAAGACCTCACTGCCAAGCTAGCTGAAAGCACCGCAAGCGATACACAAGCGCACTTCGCTGAATTTCGAGAGGACGAATCTCCCTTTAGCTTCCTAACATGGGATGATAAGCCGATAACAGCATTCCCTACCACACAGCAAGCATCAATCAAAGACAGATGGCTAATTGATACGGCTTCTACAAGGCATATCTCAAACAAACGAAGCCTATTCACTGATTTTAAGGAATCAAACGGCACTATCAAGGTCGGAGACACCTACTGCACCCTTCAAGGAAGTGGAAAAGTCAGCATCAAGGCACTTAGTCCTACCACAGGGAAGCCAGTGACAATTACGCTTGACGACGTCGAGTACTCACCAGGATTTCACACAAACCTGATCTCACTTGGAATCATCAAGAAGCGAGGTTTTATAGCGGACTTTGACAACTTAACGATCGTTAGCAAGCAGTCCGGCAAGTGTATTGCAAAGATAGAGGAAATTGGTAACCTCTTCGCACTCTCAGAGGTAGACATACTGTTTCCTGCCTCATTCGCAACAACTGCATTTGCTTCAACCACTAAGCGTTCTACCGTACCGCTTGTCTCAAAAGCAACCGCTGAAACATGGCATCGCCGACTTGGTCATATGCATGATCAACGTATCGAGAAGCTTGCCGATATGGTAGATGGCATCGAAGTCACAAAACCTACTGGTCAAGCACAACAAGACAATCCTGAGCACTGCGAAGTGTGTCAGTTGACAAAAGCGCATCGCCAAGTGTCTCGAAGAGCTCAAGGAGCCACATTCGGACCGCTTGGTCGAATTCACTTCGATCTAATTCCGATCCAAGAAGCCTATAACGGCGACAGGTGGATAACTCATTTCTATATTGATGGCATCCGCTACCATTGGGCTGCAACGCACCCACAAAAGAACGGCTGTCAGGAAGCAGTCACTAGCTTCGTGTCACAAATGAAGACTTGGTTCAACTTGCCGATCCGTGCCTTTCATTATGATAATGAGAGATCAGCAGGCAGAGCTGTCGAGGATTTCCTCACTCACTGCGGTATCGTCATCCAACACAGCATCCCCGGCACTCCTGAAATGAATTCGTTTGCCGAGCGATCTGGGGGGGTGATAATAGCAAGGATGAGATCACTTCTCGAAGACTCTAAGCTCCCTAAGAATCTCTGGCCGGAAGCAGCGCAAGCAGCTATCTATATACTAAACAGATCGCCCACCAAGCTCAATGATGGCCGCTGGATCATCCCACAACAGGAGTTTCACCAGCAAGGAACTAGCACATGGGTTCCGATCAACCTATCAAATCTTCGAGTATACGGTTGTCGCACCTACGTCAGAATTCAGGGGATCCCTCAATCCGATAAAATGCATCGCCGAGCTGAAATTGGCTACTTGGTCGGATATAAAACAGGCAACATCTGGAAAATCTGGTTTCCTAGGTCTAATACCAGCAAGTACGTCCGAGACGCAGTGTTCGATGAGAATATGAACTATTCACACCAGCCGAAAGAAGCTCCAATCATCAGCCAGATACCCTACACAGAGGTTTTCGATCAGGAAGAGCTTGAAGCAGAGCTTGAGCAGGCCCTACGCCGACTTGCTACATCACCAATCATACAAAATGAGCCACAAGATCCGCAAGAAGCAATTGAGACCCGATCTCAACAAATGCCAATTGAACAAGCCGAAGCATCACAACAAGTGTCAAAACTTCAACAATCCACTTCGCCACAATGGCAACAAGTGACCCCGTCACTCACTCCACGAATGACTCCGCTGCCAGCGAGTCTTCCGCCAAGTCCGATACCAAGCGAGGTGCCGCTGCCGACCAGCGTACCAAACTCGCCATTACCGGCACCACTCACGGCCATTCCATATGAGCCTGTTACACCGGATCAAGCGCTTCGTCCAGCTTATCCGCAAGCACCAGAACGAACAGCATTCCAGCAAGTGGACGTAGTTCCAGTACGACCAATTGTCTACACTCCGTCAAGTCCAGCACCGGCCTCCTCTCCAGATCAGCAAGTTCCGGGAAGCTTCCCCACAGCTTCACAAGGTCACCAAGCCATTCGAGATATTAACGGAGACGTCTCTACAGACAACGTTATCCAAGGCACTCGAAGAAGGACAGTGAGAAAGGACCCATACCTTGCGAGTTACTTCACGTACGATGACCAAGATGACCATGAAGGCGTACTAGCTGCATTTGCTTCCGCGCTCTCATCCACTCGCCCAGAACCTCGCTACCATCGCGATGATCTTACTCCTGAACCCCAAAGCTGGAAGGAAATGATTAATCATCCGTTTCGGGACGGTTTCATGGCCGCAGCAGGCCTCGAAGTGGAATCTATCAAGCTCCGTCAAACATTCAAAGTTGAACCACGCCCTCAGGACCGCAGCATTCAGGTCCTACCACTCAAGTGGGTTTTCAACTATAAGTATGACAGCAATGGTTTCCTCACCAAGCTTAAAGCACGAATCTGTGTTCGAGGCGACCTACAAACCATTAGCTCAGACGACAAGCGAGCCGCCACGCTTGCTGCCCGTACAGCCCGTGCAATATTCGCACTCGTTGCTGCATTTGACCTAGGAACCTTCCAACTCGACGCTGTTAACGCATTTCTCAATAGTGATCTCGACGAAGAGGTGTATACGTATATGCCTGAAGGTTTCCACGATTCAACAAGCGTCTGGAAGCTCCTTAAAGCACTTTATGGCTTACGCAAGTCTCCGAAACTATGGCAGCAAGAAGCCACACGCGTTCTTAGAAAGCTTGGATTTCAGCACGTACCAGAGGATATATGCCTATTCACGAGAAATGGAGTCATTGTGTTCTTTTATGTGGACGATATAATTATCGTCTACCACCGAGCGAGATACCAGGAAGCTTTAACGCTGCGCCAACAGCTTAAAGAGCACTGGGAACTTCGGGACATAGGAGAAGCAAGCTGGTTTCTCGGCATTCGCATCCTCCGGGATACTAAGCAGCATAAGCTATGGCTTTGCCAGGATTCCTATATCGCATCAATGGCCGCCAAGTATGGTCTTACCAACGGACGAAAGGTTACAACACCTCTACCAGTCAATCGCATGACTCGGTATACGGGACAAGCAACTAAGGAGCAGATTCACGAATACCAGCAGAAGGTAGGATCAGTCATCTATCCAACAGTCATCACACGTCCAGATGCTGCCAAAGCAGCAAATCACTTGGCCGAGTTCCTCACGAACCCCGGACCCGAACACCGAGAAGCAGCAAACCGCCTTATCCAGTATCTCTACCAAACAAGGTTCCTTGCTCTCGAGTATCATCCAACTCTCACGGAGTCTGCACTCCACTTCTTTAGCGATGCATCATTCGGAGATCACGTTGATCGGAAAAGCTCAGAAGGCTTCCTCTGTAAGCTGTTTGGAGCAGCAGTCGACTGGAAAGCCAGCAAGCAACGAACCGTCACAACGTCGACAACTGAAGCCGAGCTGCTAGCTATATCTGAGGCTGGCAAGTCAGCTATGTGGTGGAAAAGGCTACTTCACGCAGTCAATCTCGACTATCAATCAGGACTAGACATCCACTGCGACAATCAGCAAACCGTCGATCTTCTCACTAAGGAGCAACCTCAGCTTCGCACCAAGCTTCGCCACGTCGATATCCACAATAACTGGCTTCGTCAAGAAGTTGAAGCCGGCACTATCTCAATCAAATGGGTTCCCACAGCCGAAATGGCCGCCGATGGACTCACTAAGCTGCTTCCATCACAGTCCCATGCGCAATTCATTCAGACACTAGGATTGGTCGACATTAAGCACTTGGTGGAGGACAAAGTGGCATGAAAGAGAAGCAGAATGGCTGCTGAGGGGGTGTGTCAAGAAAAGCGGTCCTTACAGTACTAGCTTACTCGAGTTTTAGCAGCACCCATTTTTGCTTACTCATTTGCTACAGTATAAATGGCTACTTCGCCAAGCCATTCACCGCTTCATGAGCATTGGTTAAATAGCGCAGCATCAGCTTGTCCTAGAATTTACACTCATTCTATGATATCAAGGCCGACCAATGGTCTGTTGTAGAACTAGCGCGTACCGTATCTCTTGGAATCGACACAAGGGATTATAAACAACGTTACGCACCATTATCGAAAGAAATTGATACGTTGGATAACTGATACCCTTGATCATGGACTCGATCCTCGCGTGAAGATGAGCATCTTTTACACGGTTGTTTGGATTATTCAGGCTTGGAAATTTCGACTATCGGATCAAAGGATTCTAAATTGCTTCAAAAAAAGCACTTTAGTTCGTGCGGAGTCATCTCCATCTCCAATCGATTCTCAATCGATTGTAGCAGACGTGAGCGTACCGACCGAGTCCAACCCGACCGACTCACCTCCAATCGATTATCAACCGAATGTAGAATCAGGGTTAAGCGAGGCAATAAGGGCTCTATATGATGAAGTAGCTGAAAAGCTTGGCAATGATGATATCATACCATTAGATGAACCTGTTGAGATATTGGCTCAGTGAGCCTGAGGCCTCAACATCTCTGAATTCATGCGCAACGACCATATAGGGCTTATTAGATGTTTTGTACCATGGAACTCTTGCAGGTCCGTCGCACTCTCGCTTATTGTATTTTTACTACTACAAATAGCTGTAGAAGTACCTCTTCAGGGAGTCAGAATTAAAACACCTCATTTTAATGACAAAACTTCTTGCCAAGAGAACCTCCATAGTCAGATATTCCAACAGAACCTACGGACGAAAGCAGCGTGCCTGAACAGCTCGAGGGTGAAGATGTATATATTGCCAGGGATCGAATAACCACAGAGGGCCCAGAAGCTGCTGCTGATGACGAATATATATCTGGGCCCCCTCCAGAGCTTCCGTCTAATACTGCTACTGTACTAGGTTATCTACAGGATATACTACTATGGGTTGGTAGCAAGAAGAGCAGCACGTCCGACAGATTGAGGGTCTAATCAGCGATTTTGGCAGCAGGAAGCAGACGGACCAAGTGTGCGTAATCTCCTTCACTAAATCTGCGATCACATGATAAAAATGCCAAGGATCGATATCCGCCAATTAAACAATGATTTGTTTCACTATTCATTTGAAAGTAATTGTGACTAAGCACTCACCGACAGTCGGTCCCCTCCTGTCAGTGAGCCAATGCCTAAACACAAACCAATGCCTAAACACAAAAAATTCAACTATTCAATTTCAAACCCAATTCTCTCCACCAAAACAATGCCGTTTTCTACCGAAAAAGAAGAGATCTTGCTCTCAAATGCCCTTGAAGCCTATAATTCTGGTCAATTTAAGAGTATCAAGTCTGCAGCCTCCCATTTTAACGTGTCAAAGTGGAAGCTGCGAAACCGAAATGAGGGCCGACCGAGTAAAAAAGGGCGTGCAGCTACCAATAAAGCATTAAATGAGTCGCAAGAGAAGTCTTTGATTCATTGGATCGAGCTCCTTAATTCGGTCTATACACCACCTAATGCTTTTGATATTGAGGATGCTGCAAATCGCATTTTACAATACTGCGGTTCCGACCGACGGGTTAGTAAAATGTACGGATATCAATTTATCCAACGTTTACCACCCCATATTACCCTCCGAACCCAAAAACCTATAGAAAAAGCGAGAATCGAGGCTGAATCTCACGGTGAATTAATTCATTGGTATGAGGTTTTTGGTGATTTTCTCAAAAAGAATAAGATCCAAGCCAATGAATTATATAATTGGGATGAAACTGGCTTTCAACTAGGCATTGGAACAAAGGAAAATGTCGTGTCTACCCGCCAAAATGAGACTATTGGAACCGGTGGAATTGGTCAGAATATTACTGGCATTGAATGTATTTCAGCTGATGGCTGGGTTATGCATCCTTGGTTCTTGATTCGCGGTTCTGAGCATATGGAAGACTGGTTCGAAGACGACGATAATATAGCCAATTACCGGGTTATTAAACCAACTTCTAAAGGCTGGACAGACGATACAACTGCAATTCAATGGCTATTGGACTTCCATTTCGTCACGAAAAAGCGAGTTACCAAAGGTAGACCTAGAGTTCTACTTATGGACAATCATGGTTCTCATGGAACCCCGGAATTCGAGCATATCTGTCAAAGTTTTAACATCATTCCTTATTGGTTTATTCCAAAAATGACACATCGATGTCAACCTCTTGACGGTAAACCATTCTCAGTTCTTAAACAGCGTTTTCGGCGGAAGAACAATGAGATTGAACGCTGGGGTGGCGATGTCAATGATAAACGGCATTTTTTTCGAATGATCAAAACAGTCCGCAAAGACACATTCAAATCGCAAACTATCAAATCAGCATTTGCGGATACTGGCATTTGGCCTTGGGATCCAAAACTTGTTCCTGATCAAATTGATCCTGGGTGGGAAGATGAACCAGTGATTGAAATTTATGGTCATACGCCCTCCCCCGAAGCCGAAATCCCAAGTTCACAGACGAATTCACCACCAAATACACCTCACAGATGGTCAAAAATTGAGGATAAACTCGAAACAATCCTCGAAAATGATGAACCAGACGTTTCAAAACTCCAAAAGCATGTAAAACGTGCTATTCGTGGAGGTAAACAGGCGCTTCAAGATCTGAACCTTGCAAAACAAACGATCAAAAGGATGCAAAAACACAGAATTCCGATTAAAAAATCACGACGTATTATAAAAGGAGCTTCAAAATCCCCATTATCATCAATTGCGGGCAATATCAGAGTTCATCGACGTGCTGCGAACGAAAACAGAGTTGAGATCTGTCGTGAGATCGGAAATGCAAGAATTCGAGACTATTGGTATCGCGCCCAACAAGCTCTCAAAGAAAAAGAAGAGGCATCAGGAGAGAGAGATTATATTGATGAAAATAGTGAGCTATTTAAATGGGTAGATCCAGATGATATGTTGGGAGGAAATTAGGTTTGAAATTGAATAGTTGAATTTTTTGTGTTTAGGCATTGGTTTGTGTTTAGGCATTGGCTCACTGACAGGAGGGGACCGACTGTCGGTGAGTGCTTAGTCACAATTACATTGTCGCTGGGTGTTTGCATCTTCCCCAAGTCCGTGGCATACTGCGCATATTACGACGGTGCTTAACTTCCTCCACCCAAGTACGGTTAATCTGGTTAGATGCTATGAATCTTTCCACAAACTTCTCATTTCCTTTCGCCACTTGATCCTCAAAAATTTCTATCGCTTCCTGCATCACTGTTCTGAATTCTGCGACCTGGATTTCCAGAGGTACAGCCTCTTGGTCATCCTCCTCATCCTGCTCCGACTCACTTCCTGAGGAGTCTAATGGTGACGCGAGGGTGGTGTCTTGCATTTCGATGTTTCCATGCAACTTCCGAGTGCGGAGTCCCTCTCTCGACGCAAACTCAGGTAGCAGAACCAATCGTTCATCTTTCCAGAAAGGATAGACCGTCTGACGACTAACAGTTTCAAAAAAGTCCGGACTAGATGACTCAAAACAATGAACAATGTGTTTGCAGATAAGGAAGCGACTGTGCAGGAAGGATTTGCATGAACAAACCCAGTTGACCGGACTTGTGTGGTATTCCTTCAACTTGTCGGGTTCGACGGTTTTAGAGGCCTCTCTTCGCCACTGCTTCTTAAATGCCTCTCTCCATCGAGCTTTGAATATGCGGAACTGCCCACTGGAAATAGCTTTCATTCGATGGATAGCATCTGGGAGAACTCGCGATGCCAAGACCCACACCACCAGGTCAACTCGCGGCCGATTGAATCGATGAAGATAGTCGTGCTTCAGTGTTCGCCAATGCGGCTCCACGATCATTGTTGTCTTCGCCACCGGGATCTCAGTAGAGTCAGCAGCCCGTGCCCACAACTTCCATTGGTTAGGGCAGTACCAGTTGACATGCAGATAAGCCCAAAGCCGGTAATACCCTCGGGCCTTACACCAGACCAGGTATGTATCTCTGCCGCACATTCATGATGCAAAGTTGTCGAGCACTTGTAAGTGCCGTTAGAATCAGGGATAAGAGGATGGAGGTTAAAATGTCGGCAGAAAATCTCCAGAACCGTGTCACGGTCCTCCTTCGTGGCGGGCTCAAGTCTCCCCATTTCATTGATTTTCTCACCCTTTGACGGGCATGAGCAATCGCCAAATCTATGGCTCACCGGTCGGCGGACCGGTAGCGAACCCCAGCAGATCTCCAAGTCTGGAATCTGCTTTTGAGCCTCCTCGGGCCGGTAATGATTTTGGGTGTTGGTGCTTTTGGACGAATTGAGTTTCGTACCTACGGCCCGCTTGACATGCCAGTAGCAAAGCTGAACTTTGACCCCAGGCCATACGGTGGTGACCGCTGCAAGTTCGGAAGGATCCTTATCAACCGCGACGCATCTCGGATTGAATCCGAAAATTTTCAGTCGCTCCAGAAATTGTTGAATAATGTATGTCATCGCCCCAGGATCCGCACGGACGGGTTTCCCCTCGGCTAAATTGGCCTGCGGGGGCTTTAGCAGCTCGACCAGACAATATGCAAGCGGAACACCAGTACCTTCAACTTCAGCTAATACCGCGAATAGATCCATCCCGCCACTGTTAGTTCCAAATGTCGAGTCCATCACCAATTGTGGGGCTGTATTGCGAAGCTTCTGGATAGGTTCGGACGCGAAAAACCCCAATGCCCTCAGGTTTCCTGCCGTGAAGATCCCGTGGTGATCGCGATAGTGACTGTTTTCAGAAAGAAGCATGGTAGCCGAAATGAAGGGGTCTAGGTCTCGCTGCCAGATTTCCGCGTTCGCTTTCTGCCAGAGATAGTAGACTTGATGTCTAGTCACTGGTTTTCCTTCCGGAATCTGTCGAATCTCGCGGTATATTTCGGATGGAGTTTTGGTCGATACAAGTGAATTGATAAGGTCTTGCACAACTGGTGATAGTTCGATGTCCTCATAAGGTGCATGCCATTGGTGATGGATCGAAAGGGACATGGTTCGATTTTGTAAGCATGGCCGTATAGTGAGCTTGCTTTGGCATGGAAATCGCGTCATACGGCGGCCATCCCGCTGCTTCCCGACCTCTACCATAGGTCGATAGCTTTTAGCACGCATCAGATCCTGAGAGCAGTGGTACTGGTATGTGCAACTTTGGAAATTCGTTCCCATGTGGGTGAACCGGAATCCCCCTCGTTTCCAAATCAAGTCCGTGAGATCGCGCATAGCCCCGTTCATCTCGGATCTAGGATATGTGCCACGGTCGACATCGTGTTCACTCCCTCCTACAGTTTCTGTGACACGTACAGAGCCAAACTGGACTGGCAGAGTATCTAAATCGAACAGGTAGTTCCCGTTCAATACCGGGGGGTGGTTCTGAGGCAAACGGGTTAGTATCGCGTCAATAAACCCGGACTTCTCGGTCCTTGGTTCTGGATTTCCTTGCCCGTGTTTTCCAATTGTGAAGAAGCTGAGCAAAATTGCCCCAATCGTCAAACTCCAGAGAACGTTTCTGGCTATGACGCCTGCAAGTTTTGTTCCGTTTCCCTTTCTTGGTGGCTTCAAATTCATCTGCAGCATAGAATTTTGCGCATTTGCTGCAAAAGACTTTGTTTACAGCACTTTCTTGAGGGTCCATGGTGGAGGAGGATGACAACAACAATAGTGTAACTAGTTAGTCATGAAATATTGCGTGTGTAAACAGAAACCAAAACGGGAAAGGTTGCGTTGGTGACTAATCTAAAGTACATCACATGATCGCAGATTTAGTGAAGGAGATTACGCCCCCATTTTCCTAATACTCAAGCACTCCCCAAGTCCAATGGAGAAATCATTTCCGCCTGCTCATCCAACTATCAGAGATGCCCAGGACCAGTGCTATGGCCACATTTCTGCCATATTCCCCAGCCCCCCGTCCCTCTTCCCTTCCTCGTACCTTGTCTCTCGGGTTGATGTCAGTTGTGCCCGTGAAACTCCACTGTGACATTCTTGCCCTTTCGATGGCATGGAGGAAGCGCTTCAGTCATTGACCGCAGAGAAGATGCAGGGCCGCTAAGACTTTGAAATAAGTGAACGGAGCGATAAGGGGACTGAGGCGGTTCTGCCATGCCTTAGTATAGGGATACTTTTTGATTTAGGGACGAGGTCATATTGTGGACGCATACAAAGCCTTATGAAGCGCCAAGCTCTTAGTCTGCCCCTCCGTCGCAAACCCAGATTGCGTTGCCGTCAACAAGAGGGCAAAGTCCCAGTTATAGGCGCCATGCACATATGGAGGAGCTCGTGATGTGTCTGGTACTTGGCGCAATATCCACGGAAAAGGGATACCACGCTGGAAGGCGTAGAGCTTGTTTAGATGGGAGAGGTGCATTTTGCCGTATCTGTATCGTCTGTTATCAGGTGGGGATTGTGGTATCGTTGTGAAGTAGGTTCTGTACGAGGGCTCATCGTTAGACTAGGTAAGGGTTGTTGGGAAGAGGTTGTTGTGTTGCTGCGCGATCGTGAAGTTGATTTGCTATTGGATTAGCGCTATATAGGATGTCAGGAAGCCTAGGACTGATTGATTCACATTGTTTTAACATATATCTTATACCCCCCACGACAAGTCCATAAGCGAACCGTCCTCGAAGAGCCACGTTTGTACCACGCAACGCTACCGAAATAATATATTCCACTGCGCAACTCATAGACAGGCACTTAATATTCCCAACCTTCTCAACTTAGTATCTTCATCATATCTTCATTTTTCCAATACCCAACATGCCTTTTGAACAGTTCAGGCGCAACCGCGACACAGCGAACATCTGCATGGAACGGATGATGAATGATGCCTCCAACCATGAAATTTTGACTGAAGTCTTAAGTGAGGGACGTGAGAGATTTTCGGACCATGTCTATGAATTGCCCAAGGATCAGATGACCAAATTAAGCCTTCCCGATGTCGCCAAATACAAATTTCAACTCCATGCATCCTTCGACAAGCCAGACCAAAATGCCCACTATTCGGATCATTCCAATGTCATTCTTGTTCGGAAGACCGAACAAATGGGCACGTGGCTTGAGCCGGACACCAAACCCCTGCCACTGGTCTGTCTACACCGGAGGTCATGCCTATCATCTCAAGTTGGCAGAGGCGGACGGGGCTCAGGGATTGTCGATAGTACTTCGAGACGATTCCAGCTTGGATTGGAAAAAACCACCAGAGCCTATAGTTGACCCTTTCGTTACTTACCATATCGGGTTCACGAATTACCAGGAACAACAGATCTCTCTTCTAGCCAAATGGGTGGTCAAACAGTTGGATCACCATGAGCTCTCTACGGCGGCTGATGAGCAGTTTGTCTTTGGGCTTGCATTCGTATTCTTCGTGGTCCCAACAACACCACAGATCTTATCCGAGATTTTATAAAAATTAACAATCACAACATTGACCCAGCTACTCCCAGTGTATTTCTCACTGGGGTACGGCTTGCGGATCCAGACGAAGATACCAGCACTTGGGCCAAGAGATGCTATTCGATCTATCGAATTGAGACTGATGCTCTTCCTCAATTCTTCACTCTCTCTCGATTCCTCATTTTGCCCCGGTCATAATTCTCGGTACGTTCAGTACCAATGAACCTGCGTTGGCGATCGAAACTCAATAAGGAATGGTCTCGCTATCCCACACCCAGATATTATCACTATAGCCCCTTAAATCCTCACAGATTGAGACAGATGGTCAATTAGGTCCTCTGGAAATCATTGATCAGTGCCTCCATTCTCGGTACCGATTTTATCATGTTCAGCTGTAGGACACGGGGATTGTGCTCTAGCATCTGGCGGGATTGGAGGTCGCTGGAGTTGGGCACCGTCGATCACCAGTATGGATGGATGAACACCAATTCTCTAAGTTAGGATATCTCAAGTCAAATTATCTTTATTCTATCTATATCATTAATAACTAAGTAGGTAAAAAAATGTATAGAAAAAGATATTGAAAGGACATTGAAAAAAATTTACGGCCTTCAGGCATACAACGTGCCCGACATTGAGAGGTCGCATCGATATAGATAATCCTTGGGGTCCACCCAGAGATTCTAATTAACTCAATAATTGGCTTAGGGCTTGTCGTTCCATCTTCCATCGAACTCATCACTTCTCTGCCTTGTGAGACTTGTGAATCATGCCAGAGTCAAGCTCTTGGGCTTTCAGAGATGAACTTGGTAGTTCACTCGGTGAATCAGTATGGCCTAATTCAGCCATCGGAGCAGTGTGGGCTAACTCGGCAAGGGGAGCAATATGGCTAAAACTTCCCGCGGCAAGTTCGAAGGTCTGTGCCATCGAAGATGATGTATTTTCTTGTCGATTCCTTATCCTTAGGCGCCAGGAAAACAGGAACAGGCCGCCCATAGCGAGCACCAAGCTTAACGAAACACCAATACCGATTCCGACCTTCGCACCGCTTGAAAGCTCGGATTCCGTGCTATTGTTGCTGTTGGTGCTTGTACTGGTACTCGTCCTGGTACTATCCGCAGTACCGGTGGCACCCGCCACTTTGATGGTGGCAAAGTCAAGACCCGCGATCGTTGGTAGTGCGGCGCTGGGGTTGATAGGCCAATATGAATTGATCGATGTGGGACAGGAAGGAGTAGCAAAACTTGATGGAGGGTCGCCATTTGTAATCACAGCAGACCACTGGCTTTTCAAAGCATTGTAGTCGGCCAGAGTTGTTGGCGTACTAACCTCGGAAGTGGTATATGAAACAAGCCCGTAGTTACTCGCTCTACGTGATGTTAATATGTATCAAACGAGAATCAGGGATGCACCTTACTCTTCCCTCCACTCATATATGATTGCACCACTCCAAATACGTGACATATTCGACTCAAAAATCGCGGACTGGTCTCCGAAGAGCCGCGGAGCCATGTTGCAACCATCTTCAGAAAAGAAGACGGGTACCGATAGGCCTTCTACTTTCGACGTCAATGTATCGTAGCCAGAGTCGCTTATGGATGAATTGCCACACCACTGGTATCCATTGACTGAATAGAAGTCGACGGCATCGTCACTGTTACCTCCACACACAAGGTATTCTCCTAGTGCTTGCATATAGGTATACTCTGCACTTGTGGCGTATCCAATCGGTAACGTTATAGGACGATACTGTCTTGCGGCAGTATAAGCTTTCATATCGCGAGCTGCAGCCTTTAGATACGGGGCTAGATCGACCGACGTATAGCCTATTTTATGCATTCAGATCGTGTAAAGCCCTTGAGCGTGGAAGTTTCATACCTGAAATCGTTTCATCTCCAACAAGGAGCCCCAAGAGATTGCTGTACCCGGCCATTGAATCAAGAACAGCCGCGTATTGTTCGAAAACGTCCATTTGCCATGTGGAGTTGACCTTGGAGTTGGAGATTTCAGTATCAATATGTAGAGAACACATAGCAATCGGAAAATCTTACTATGTTCGAGCTGGTTGTGATATTCACAAGGCTCCCATCCCTAGGGCTCCGAAAGGAATATGATCATTCATGAATATTCATGAATATTTGCGAATATGAATAATATGAATTGCATAATATGAATATGAATAAGAGACTTATTCATATTGCATTATTCATGAATATTCATGAATGATCATATTTATTCATATACTGAGAGAGCATACATTACCGTTCATGTTGTTACGTCTCAATACAGGAACCCATTTTCGTGTGCCTAAGACTCTATAACAAATGCGTTCACCATCTCTAAGATATTACATTCCCATAAATCTTAATATTATCACAATCACTTTTTTGGAACGCTATTTTTGATACTGTCCCTTCAGTAGCATAAGCCACCGCATAGTCTCCGCATTTAGACAGTGTCTCCTGAGCCCCAATACATCCCTGGCATTGCTGAACTCGCGTTCAATCCCTACCTCCGCTGATGGAATTGGCAGGTAATCTCGGGCTGCCTTTGCCATGAGTGGAAAGCTAAATACATTCGCCTTCCACCATTTGAGAACCCATTCCTCGTCTGCATCGTCAATCATATGGTGGGACCAACTCACCGGTGGCGCGTCTGGATATCTATCAATGTCTGAAAGAAGCGTCCGCTGTGATGGCTGTACTTTTCGCAGCGTCCTCCACATAGTCTCGGACATTCCCGGCGGGCGATCCACTACACACGACATGGACAACTCCTGCGGATACTCCCTCTTTAGGAACTCCCGCACTTGAGAGATGATCAGTCCCGCATCTTGCTCGCTCATCTGCGGTCCAATCAAAGACGATTTAATACGCGGGTCTAGGACGGAAGCCACGTAGTAAAGAAGATTGGTGTCCATCTCCCTTGCAAACTTGTTCATCTTTTGGATTCCTCTTTCCACCGCATCCCGGATCTCGGTATCCACACCTTCAAAATCACCTTCGGCTTTTTGAACCTCGTCAAGGAGGTCGTCTAGACTCCAATAGATAGGCAAGCTCTCAACAATCGTGGGACAAGATTTTGATACGGAGTTGGTGTGATCCCAGAATGGCTTAAGAACCTTCGCTACTTGTTGAAGAATCGACCATTCGTTCTCGTTTAGTTGAAGGGCGTGAACTTCTGGATGCATCCGAACAAATTGTCCAAGTTCCTTCTGTAGCCGAAGGGCGTCCGCTATCATGATACAGGTTGAGTTCCATCGAGTGTCAACATCGTAGCCCACTTGCTTGGCTGGTGACACATCTTTCCAATTTTGGCGGCGCTGTGGACTGCGGGCAACCCATAGGGTCAGCAGCCGGATCTTCATGATTGCTCCCTTCGTGCTGTGGGCAGAGGTGAATGTTGGGCTACTTTGTGTGGCCATGTCGTCCAGTATAGCCTTCGCCTCTCGAGCTGAGCCGGCCCTCAGGGAAGCGAGTACGTCCCTGCAAATGAGATTTATGACGTGGGCAAGGCAAGGAATGAAGCTCTGCCGTCCACGAAACCGCATAAGAGGTCTGATGCGAAATTGGTCGTCTTTATCGTCATAGTTCTTGAGAAGCTCGGCGTGAAGACTGTCGCAGAGAGTTACATTGTTGGCAGCATTATCCCCCGTAATTGTGAGGAGCTTTGGCGCGACGTCTAGTTCCTCAAGCATTCTAATCACAATTTCCGCAAGGTTCTCCCCAGAGTGCGGTCCACATATGTCAGTAAACTCCAGAAGCTCTTCCCGCTTCTCAAACTCGGGTGAGATCCAATGGCCAATGATGCCCATGATCGCTATCTGATTCTCCGATGTCCAAACATCAAGAGACAGCGCAAGCGTGCGACTACTACTGGCTAATTCTTCTTTCACGCAAGTCCGGTTTTTGCGAAATTCCTCCTTGATCCTGTTGAAGAGAGTGTCGGCCGTCTTGATGGGTAATATAGCCCCTGTCGCTTCAAAAAGTGCCCTAAATGCCGGATGCTCCACTACCGTAAACGGCTGTCTCGTTTGGACAACCCATTGTATCAGCATTTGTTCAAGGCCCGCCCTTTCTTTTGCAGGTGTCAAAAAACTGTCCAGGGTCGTTCCGATAGTTGACGATGACGTGATGTCTGATCCGGAACTGATGCGGTGCTTAGCCTGGAGATGGGCCAACAAATTCGAAGTGGAGCCATAGCGTGCCGAATCCCTGGATGACCAACTGCACTGCCTACAGACTAAGAGCCGATCCTTCTTTGGTGGCCCACCCTTTCGACGCCAGGTGTTGTCTAGCTCTGTGATCCAGAAATGCTCGAGGGTCCAGCTAGAATATGACTTGGCTTTTCGTCTCTTGTAAGGCGGTGGGCTACTCTGACTGCTAGTCAACCCTGATAGCGTGGGATCTAGCGGTGCGGGCGAAGACCTGGGAATGGGTAAGGACCGCACGGATGGGGACGCCTCTTCGCCTCCTGTAAACTCGGATGGTGCTGGCGAGCAGGGGCTCTCTATTTCACGAATATTTCCTTCCCATGGCTCAGGGAGTAGGGAGGGTGTGCCATTGTTCAGAGCATTGTAGTCGCGACGCGGAAGACCACGCGTCTTTCGCACAAATGGGTTAGGTGAGGATGCCATTCTGTATTTGCCCAGTGTTAGTAGTCCAAGTGGTACCTGGGAGCGAGGCGGGGCACACCTTTAGTATCACTCGACAATACTTGATAGCATGGCGGGTCGGAAATGAACGGTGAGAATGAAACAATGATGGGGAAACACTAGCTGTGCTTTCGCCTGATGCAATCCCAGTAAAGTGGAAAGTTGATAGGTCTTTTCTTTACACGCGGCGGTTTCTCGCTCGCGACTCTCATGGTAAACAATCTGTAACCTGCATGAGAAGTGAGTTAAGGTGGCATGATAAACGCGTTTTTACGTGCCAATAGTCATGGTTATAATAAATCTAAACTTTGGAGTAGATCGAGTGGGAACAAGAGAAGTTATGGTAGTCGATTTAACTAGAGCAGCAAAGATGTGGAAAGACGACTTGTAGATATATATAATTTCGCTCGACTTTCTGTAGCAACCGTTGGTCACCAAAACTAGACATTTACCTATAAAAAATCACGAAAAATAATGACGCAGAATACATAGAGCTTACCGAGCCCTACAATATAGGGTATATACTTCAGAACATGGATTGCATGGGAAATATTTTCTACTTATGCTTGACCGAGGCTGTGATCGCACTTGAAATACAAGTTGGCTAGTGGAAACGTGTATTTCTGTAATACAAAAACCGGGGAAACGGAAGATCCATTAATGCGCGCAAAATGCATGATATGAATAATATGAATGCGAATATGAATAATGTTACCTCAGTTCCCTCAGACCACAGCCAATGATGAGACAGAATTCTGCCGATTCTGCCACGCTAACCCGATTGGGTTGCTTCATCAGCCCGTGGTCTGAGCCGGGAACCCCTTCCGTACATACAAGTTTCCGGTTCTCGCCAGCAACCCCACCATTTGGTCAAGGTGTGTTTTCTCAAGCTCTCTGAGAGTATTTCTGACATTGTTAGAAAGAATGGCATCACCGGATTTGCCCAATATGATCTCTAGATCGCGAAAGCGTGCTCGACAATCCTCCCTCGAGTGGCCTTCTTCCAGTTCACCATTACAAGAACCACCTGCGTCTACTCAGCGATCTCGTTATATCTCAGGATTGCAGCCACGCGAACGTGTCGATATGGTACTGGCTGAGCTTAATGATAAGCACCGGTGGACAATCAAGGATCTTCTTTACCACATGGTGCATGCACAACCAGTCAAAAAAAATGGATATTCGACATCGTATCGAGCACAGAAATTGTCTGACGCTATATATGGGCAACCTGAAATTATTGAGCGGCTAGGTAGTGTCTCAAAAGACATATATGCCACTGGTGCATCCGATCTCGTGTCTCGGATACAGACCGAGATTCGAGGGCTGATTAACGGAGATATACTCGGCGAGTTCCAGTCCAATGTGGACCCTAAAGATATGGACATCTCTAGCTTGGCTACGCAGATGCAGAGGAAAGCTCCAGAGCTCTGTGGACTGCTCGTTAGCATCATGACACCTCCAGGAAACCATCGCGATACACCCAAGATCCACCAGGGCAGCATTGTGATGGTCTGTTCAATTCTGGCTTGCGCTTTTGCACCACGGAAAAGCAACAACTTCCCGATGTTGATCGGCTTGTATTTACATGCAATGGGTGTCAAGCGACGTGTGATTAGCTTTCTGGCTGGCCTGGGGATAAACTCAGCATACCAGACTATCATGGACAGACGGAAGGAACTTGCAGAACTAGGACAGGTACTATAACCGCATTTACCGGAGAATAACATGTTCTGGCTGACTTCTTACCCCAAGATGTGTACAGAAACAATTGAAACAGAATGCCCAGGCTTCTCGCAGGAATCTCATTGTGGCATGGGATAACTTTGACTACAGCCAGACTGTTCGACATCAAACTATTCGTGATCCATCAGAGCATATCTCCGCCACCACTGGCAAGCTTTGTATCGGTCAGTCCATCCCTGCAGGAGGGCTTCTCCGATCTATGTTCCATCCAGAGGTTACACTGAGTCCTCATGATATCTACATGGCACCAGGCAATCAGGATGATGAGATCTTCCATCAATGTCAGCGCCATTGGATTGCAGAGGCCATTCGCTATACTCATCGGGAGGCAGTAGAGAAACTATTTACTGCGGAAGCGTGCGTCAAACCAGGCCAGATGAAACCGCGAGCCCATCTTATTGACTGGCCTGAATTCCCAGCAGTTAAACGACTGCAAGCGCAGAAGACAATTCACTACAGCCTTGGGCCAATGTTATACAACGAAGGCACGACAGAGGGGACATACAAGGTCATTCAGAATGTCTTTCTGGAGCAACTGGGGGATGATGATGATACAGACCTTGATGGGCTTTTACAACTGGTTTATGGAGATCAGAAAACAGTGTCACTCCTTCGTGCCGTCAAAAAAGAAC